GGATATTTGGTACAAGGTACCAAGGTCATTCAAAACCAACCATTGGTTAAATGACATTGCATTTCTATAGGTAACTGATAGTTTGTATTAACCACAAACTTAACCTACCTATAAATATACTCAGTTTACAATCTACCTTATTTAGGTCACTTCGCTCTCTTTAATTAAAGAGGGGACCTGTGAACTGCCGTTCACTGAGAGTTTGTATACTCTCGGAAGATAACTTCCTCTAGCGCAAGGTGCTGTGTGACCCCGTCACATGCGAGTTCCGACTTGCCATAATTTCATTTAGATCATTGTAGATAAAATGTCCCACGTACAGTTCGTGATCGACTTTTGTTCCATTTGACTTGTTATCAGGCGAAATCTTTGCTTAAGCATTTCAATCGCGCATTCAATAGCCATCCGGGCGCTACGAACATAATTAATACGTTTCTGAATCCGTGAAAGTTTGCCACCTCCTTCACGTGGTATATATAGAGCTAAACGCTCACAGCTGAGTATAATATAGGCATCCCCAAGAAAATGGCACTTACGAGGAATCGTATTTGGAACGGAATTACCGATTTCAAAGACATTCCAGGTCTTTTTGGCTTTGTAAGACCCCAGCGGCTTATCATAATTCATAAATCGCCGTCGATAGCTACAGTGAGCTTGCATATTAATTGCGGGGTAATATCCCTTACAACATCTCCGTTCGTATTAACTAGGTCAAAATTATTAAGAAAAGAAATTCATCTATAACTCCAAATATGTCTGGAAAACCTCTAACATCCGCGGATCCATCCATTAATTCCCACCCTGCGCTTGTTGCCGGCATTTGAATAAATCATCAGAACGCATTTGATTACGCGAAGGAACTCGTTTATCGTAGCAATTGCGTTCGGCTGCGATATACCCCATGCAAGTCCAGCATCCTTCATACGCCGGATGACGCTAGATACAGCAAAGGCAGGCTCGTCTTCTTTTCGAGAGAGTGATCGCGCCCGTGAGGTAGCTGAGGGAGGAGCATGAGGGCGGAAGTGCTACAAATGTTGACGAAGTTACGCTGAAAGCAGCGTAAACTGCTATGCAACAACGCATCGAAAACCGTAGACGCTAATAACGTGTCAAATCAATTATAGTTACAGTTAACAGATTTGGTTTTGTTCTCGAATTCGTGCTGTGGCCGAAGCTAACGCTTCTGCACACACCATCTCCAGGAGTAGCGGCGTAGCGGCTTCATCTATCTGATACGCTGTAGACATGGGCCTGCTGCCTTTTGCAATTAATACGTACTTAAAAGATTATCTTGCCTACTTTCCCACCACCTTGGGGGTGATCGTCGGGATATAAACCGTTGGCCAATCCGAATGCATCTCATACTTGCCCAGACCACGGTGAAATCAGGGCCTTAGTTAGAAGAAAAGTTATGCTCGACTGAAAACATTTTCTCGGAGATGGCTGGGTTTAGTATAAAAAACTTGTTTTGGTCTTTTATGAGTTAGAATCGAAGGAGAAGCTGACAGATGTTTTTCTGCCCGCTCAACGGACATTAGAACCACCTCAAAAGGGTGTCTGAAGGCTAGGTTTCACCACGATTGGAAGCTTGGTTCTCGGCCTGCAAGGTCACTCAAGGCACCTTGGAAGCTTCGTTTCCGCTTATCTGGACCAGATTCGCTCTTTATCAGCTACCCCGTTGCCAATTGCCGGCGCTACCGTGTCGGGGATACCATGGACAGCAAACCAGCCACCAAAGAGACAGCGAAACACCCCAGGACAGCGCGAGATCGCACCGCGGAGCTTGGTACCACGGCAGAAAACGATAGCACGGGAGAGCCGATATAAACTACGAAACCACGATAACACATACAATATAACCACATCATGACACCTCAAAAGTACGGTGGACCGTGTCAGATCACGAGAGCACGATACACGAGCGACAAAACCATGGAAAGACCGAAATTATGAAAGAGTGCAGTACTACGGAAGAGCATAAAACCATAAGAGAGTACCAATCAGCGTTATCCACTGGTATGTAGGAATCCAAAAAGCCAGGACGAGCATGGACGCCAACCAGTAGTACGGTGCGGAAGCGTACCGACCGCGATTTCGTACGGGGGCACATGAGATTACGGAATGGTTAGTGGCTTAAGTACAATATCACGGCGTAATGCTGTGGACGAACGCACACGCAACCCGGAAATAGACCAAAGCATGCGATACCACGAAGTACTTAGCGCTGCGACTACCTCATCACCAACAAACCATGCCACCCCGCCGCATAGCGGCGGCGAACCGCTTGTCGTACGAGTTACTATTACCCGTTCGAAAAACAAATAAAAGGAAGACATCTTTGATAATTAAAGCTGTTATTACGACCACGTGGACCAAGAAGCACACCTGACCGGCTCATGTGCGGAAAAATTTTAGACTGACTTTTCTATGTATAGCCAAGTAAGCCAGGTTTTCGACATAGTATTGCCAAGAGAGTGCCGACATATCAAATCTACGATTTTGGCGTTGCGGTAGGACAAAAATGCAGAATTTACTTGATTTAAGGGCCACCGATTGCGACAGTAGTTTGAGTCATTGATACGTGTAGCAGTGTATAAAATTTTATATTGACATAACACAGATTCTGAAGCAGAAATCGCTCTAAAGACAGCTCCGGCTATAGTGGCGCCGGATATAAGAGGAAATCGGGTATTAGAGCGGCTTGATCCGGTCCCAATTTGCTCCATATTTATATTAAGTCACATCTTCAGTAGGACTGTAAGAGTATAAGAGAGGCTGTCGGGCAAGGCAAAGTGTCGCATTACAGGAGAAATACATCCCACGTGCCTCACTTAAGAACTCCCCCAATAGTAAAATAATGGTTTCCTCGCGCGAACACCTCACTATCTACGAGAAAAACGAGCTCCGCCGTCATCACCTAACTATCCAGAGTCCTAAACACGTCGGTCTCCAGCAGTGGGTCGCCGCGTGCCTCAAGAAAAATCTTGACACTTCCACGGCGGTGAAGCAGCCTCTCGACTGCACTTCCAACGGCAACATGAAACATAAATTTCAGCATGCATCAATCAAGACCGAGCTTCTAGCGTTTGTCCATACTCAAGAAGCACGAGGGCTCCTCTCTGATGATCTTCTTCAAGCAAAGGCAAATGCACTCGTCGGCAACGAGGTCATTTCGCTGTCCTGGATTCAGCGTTTTAAGGTTCTCCACGGGATAACGCTGCATCGGATGCTTGGTGAAGCAGGATCTATCGACACTGCGGAGCTTGGACATCAACGCACAAAATTGATGCAGCTGCTTCATCATTCATCAAAAATTCTACTTGCTGCACGAAAAAAAAAATCTTACTTGCTGCACAATTGAGAACCCCTATTACAAACCACAAGATACTTTGATATGGATGAAATAGGTCTCTTTTATCGCATGTTACCCCGTGAAACGCTAGCGACAAGAGCAGTCGCAGGAAAGAAGAAGGACAAGGCGAGAATCACAGCTGGCTTGTACTGTAATCTTACTGGAACGGACATGTTGAAGCCTATTGTGATAAATAGGGCGGTAGCACCCCGCTACTATAAGGGCATCGGCGTAAGAGCAATTTCTATTGACTATTTCTCGAATCAGAAAGCATGGATGACGGACAATGTGTTTTTAGAATGGGTGCGTGTCCTGAATCTAAAAATGCATGCCGTAAAGTACTTATACTGGTCGTCAATGCATCTAGCCATGCAGAAGTTGCGATGAACATGTTCAAGTACACTTTCTGTCTAAAATCACAGCTTCGCATTTCTAGCCGATGGACACGGGAATTATTCGCAAATTAAAGCTGAAATACAAGAAATTACTCGTGCAGTGGGTTGTCAAGCAAAGTAAAGCTCAAAAGCGCTTGGACTTGCTCACAACAATTAAATTTGTTGTAGACGCATGAGGTTCAGTGTCGAAAGTGACAATTTGGCACTGCTGGTGTCACACGAGGATTGTGTCGGGGAGCATGAGCTCTCAAGTAGAGCAAGACGCCGAACATATTACAAAATTAGATAGTGGGGATTAAGATGTGTTGATATCAAGATTAGAGCTGGAGGACCCTTTAAGTGCTGAGAGCTACATTGCTATTAAAGATGCTGTCGAGACAAGTATGGAGAGCGAGGAAAACATCGTCGGTTCACCGAGTGACAGCGCTTGCAGTTTGTTAGAGGAGATGCCATTTTCGCACAGTGAAGCTCTGTCTGCTGCTCGAAAACGGCAGGTCTATATGATTGCCCGTGGTTTGCAGGATACTGAAGCTCAGAAGCTCGTTGATGTCCGCCGCAGATTGACTATCAATTCCAAGCGACAGACTTCTATCACAGCTTTCGTTTATGAAGTTAAGTAGGCTCATATGATTAATAATATTAGAAAAACTGAAAATCAGTTTTTCTCTTATAAGTGTTAAATTTTACAAGAGAGGTATCTGGCAAACACCTCCACGGGTTGTCTGTACTAAAAATCTAAAGGACTAAAATTGATTACAGTTTTGCTCTTAAAAAAGGAGGCTATGCAAAATAATACCCGCTGACACTGTATCTTTGTGAAAGCAAAAGATGCCTAATTTAAAACCTTATAACGACAATAACGCTACTGTACCTTGAAAATTATAGTCAAATTAGGAGAACCTTATTGAAGCAAAATACTGTAATGGAAAGTATCATTCCGAAAGTGCACGGTCTGCCAGATGTCGGTGATGCAGGCTCGTCGAAATCTCATGTTTCGCGAGCGCTACATAAAAAGCGATCATTCATCTCATGACGTCACAGATACTACTGTCACCAAATGAAGAGTTTGGTTTTGCTCTTTCATTCGTGTGTCGGTCTGATCAATGTGTTATTGTGCTGCATTTTCGGTGGCACAAGGGGGCTTATGACATCAGCCAAGACTTGTCGACGAAGAGCACCGATGCGTTCTTGGTGGCACCATTACCACACACACAGCCACGCACCATTCGTATACACCCCGCCTCTTTGCCACAATGGCTCGCCGTCACCATGCCAGCCACGCCGCTCCCAAGCCGTTCAAGGACATGTCCTTCTCGTTCGCCTGTGGTGGCTACCTCAAGATGTACCTCTTTGGCGTTGCTAAAGCGCTGCAGGAGTTCGAGCTGGAGAAAGACGCACGGCTTATCGGATGCTCTGCGGGGGCGCTGACGGCCACCGGGCTAGCGTTGCGCTGCAACTTCGACGGTATTCGAGACTACGTGCTAAACCACGTCATCCCTGGAGCACATGTGTTCCCTGGCGGGTATTTCGGTGCACGGAAATTTCTACTGGACACACTGAATGCCGAAGGCAAACTGCACCAGTATGAGAAGCTCAATGTATCGCAACAACTCACGGTTGTCTACACGTCGCTATCGGCGCTGTCGTCGCGTCGGCTAACGACGTTCGAATCGCAGCAGCACCTGACGGACAGTCTTATGGCCTCATGCTGCGCTACACCTATTGCTGGAATGCCCTTCAGACTTGGTGGGGAGTGGGTCATGGATGGTGGGATCTTGGACTTTCAACCGGTCTACGACGAGAAAACCGTGACTGTGAGTCCGCTCTACTGCACTGGAGCAGATATCAAGCCGTCGGTGTACGTGCCGATATGGTGGGCTATGCTGCCGCCGCGTGTGCAAGACGTCGAGTGGCTCTTCGATTTGGGATATGAAGACGGACTCAAGTGGATCGTTAAGAACGGTCTCACTGGAAATCGCAAAAATGTGGTCATCCCAAACAAAAGTGGCAAATACGCGAGCGAGTGGAGCACGACCGTGGGCCGTGTGGTTGGATACCGTGGCTTTGAGAGTCGAGTGCTGGATGCTCTTTTCGTGGGGCTCTTTGTGTGCCTCTGGCGTCCACTCGCCTTCATGTGTCTGTACCTGGAACTGTACCTGCAGGCCATCGTTTCGGGTAGCAAGGCCGTGGTCTTCGGGGCCGCGGCAAAGCTATTCATCTCGAACATTGTTATGGCGATGCTGGCAGTGGCAACTGTTACTCAAGGTTTTCAGCATACGTTGCTCTTCATGCTCGGTTTGACCGCGACTGGATTCTTCTTAGGTGCGATGGTGCTGCTGGTCGGTGGCTTGCAACAGGCTGCGACGGTTGCCTCAAACGACTGGCAGCGATGCCGCTCCTGCGTGCGCAGCATCACCAGTCTGTCACTTTTTCTCCGTTGCATGCCAGTGCTCGGCTCTTTCATACAGATCAAGCGTCACGAGTTCCTACTGCAACACTCACTGGTGTATCGCATCGCCATGTACTGCATGTAGCTAGCCGGTCACCTACTACAGTACTGTAGTATTTTATTATAACGAAATTCTGGCGAAGGTTAGAATGCAGCCTTACCTAGATCTTTGTTATGTGTGGAAGTAGATTCACTAAGAGACGTGTAATTTTCATCATTGCAAGCTTCATGACATCACGCGCTGTAACGGAGGGCGCAGACACAGCTACCTGCCTTGCATGTCCATTGCAGCCAGTCATCGCAGCTTGCGACGCGCAAGTAGACACGCACAAACGTTGTGGTAAACGAAAGGTTTTGCAACCAACTGCGGACGATACACAATGTAAAATGGGAAGCGTACATGCATTGCGACACATCCCATTTTTCAAGCAGCGAGTGGGGTGACGTAAGTGGGAGCTGCTTTACGCAAACAAAATGTCTTCTACCATTTAAAAGAACAAGAATTTGAAAAGATAAACTATAAGTAGTCTCTCGTTGTTGTTGCTTTAAACTTGGAAACATTATTGATTGCCGACACTGACGAACACATGCTATAATATCCTCACTTTTCGCCATGTTCACAAGAATAAATTACACATACATGGCATAACATGGCGCGGTGGGTCGCTTCTATCTCATCACGGCGGTAAGGGACAGCTTTCATCATCATAGCGCGAACTGGTCCGCGTAGATTCCTTGGACGCCGAACGTGTCGGTAAAACGAGTGACCTGAATTGCTCCTCCAAGCTTAGTAGTCGAGTGTCCTTGGTGCTTTGCGAACGCTGCCTCGCCGTAGATCGGGTCACTCGGGTGAGGATCCATGTTGACCTTGCGTAGCGTGAGGTCCGTGAAGCGCAGCAGCTTGAGCTCAAGACGGTACATGAGCATCATCATGCGTAGCGCGTTGGCTTCGTCTTCAAACGCAGCAATTACTGCCGTGTCCTTCCAATTACGACGGCGCCAGGTACGCAGTGCTTTGATCCACTGCTCCTGAGTCTCGGGAGTCGACGCGCCTAGCACAATTCGCGTACGTCGGAAGTGCTTGATCGAGCGATCTGTGTCATGCACCGAGCGGACAGGGCTGAGCTCTAAGTAGAAGCGGTTGGGCGTCAGTCCACCGTCGATCGGTTGCACCAGTACGCGGTGGCGAGTGAGTGAGAACTGGCCAATGAAGCGCCCGTCCTTCTTGTCGTAGTACCGCAACATACCGCCTTCCAACTCGAAAAAGAGAGGGTCCTATTCAAGAAGAGCACGTCAGCAATGGCGGATGCATGAGAAGAAAGACTATCGACGCACCGCCTGTCGTCCGATATCGTGCAGCAGCAAATATCCTTCGTAGTCTGCCATGATCTCTCCGTTGTGGTGCTTGCGCAAGTAGCTCGAGGAAGAGTCGCTGCTGGGAATGGCCAGCGGCGGTTAACAACGTTGGTGCTGGCTAGCAAGTTCCGTACTGTGGTCTTTGCTTTCGCGTCGGTCTGCTCAGGCGCGTTCTGGTCATCATGGGAGCATCCGGAGTCCAGACCATGCTCCGTTACGGCTGTTGAGAGACTGACCCGAAGCTGAAGCCATCTTCAGTAATGCTGTAAGATCGGCCCATGCCATAGCATAGTGAAAGATTGAACAAATGACGGGGTACCTTGCTAACAGCAAGATCAGTATGCTAGTAGAAGATTTTAAATCTCTAACTTCTGGTTGCGTGGGAAGCAATATGCTAGCAATATGCTCTGAGCTCAACAGGAAAATACAAGTCTAACCTGCCCTAAGACTTCAATTTTGACCAGTTCTCGTGACTGGAGCGCCATGAATGAGGTGGAGGTGGAAGCGAATAGCGATATTTTCGGTGCGTGCGGTGCCGCGAGTGTGACGGCGGCCGAACCTCGCTGGACTGATGCCTGCCAGCTCAGTTTTCGCTTTGGATGAACACGTGGCAGCTTAGTATATCAGCGGTCGGCTGAACTGTGCGCCACCGGGACTAGCGACCAAACCAAGTGGCGAGCCGCAATCTTGGGGAGGCCACCATATTCCACAAACCGTGTAGCTTACGCCGTAGATGGCACCAAGGTGAGCACCACGCGGCCACCACACGTACGCAGTGATCTGCGGCATTGGAACTCGTTACAAAACGGCTACATACTCATGTATTACCTCAGGTAATTTACCTGTACATGTACAGGAAAATCCTCAAGGGCAAGTACACTGTACATGTGCTTGCCCTTGAGGATTTTTCTTCAAGTGTATGCTGATCACCGCGATCCAGCTGTTGGCTGTGCAATGGTTTCAGAGCATTGCTTTAACGACTTTGGCAGGCCTTGCGAAAGCTGCATGACGACGGTGCTCGACGCGCAATCCGATTGCGAGTCTCGATCAGGTTTCCAGCACAACAAAATGACTACCGGTACAGTACATGTACATGTACGTTGGTAAATGAAGTGTCATCATGACACCGTCCTGTGCAGGCCTGTGGGCTGCAGCCCTGCTGGTGCAATGGAAGCTCTACACGTTCGAGACGACGAAGAGTACGATGCGGCGATCACCACGTGTTCAGTAACGGGAAGGATAATAAGCTCGCAACTCTGACTGACGGCGCATATCCTGCAAGTACTACATGTACACATGAAACCCGGGCGACGAAGCTCGGAAGGCAATTGCTAGAGATCATCGCTCTGGTCAGCATGACGTTGGCGTTTGAGACAAGTATGTAAATCACGGCCTCCTCTGGATACACTGCTGCCCGCTTCGGCTATAACCGCCGTGGGCTTTCCAGTAGCTTCCGCCGCGTCGACGTCCAATTGCCTCAATCGGCGCCCGCTGGTTGTCAACAAGTATCATGAGCCTTTCGTCGCCGTCTCGCCGCATCAAGTCTTGTGTCACAACACTGTTGTGCGCGCGATACATTTGACGAGGGGAGCACAATCAGCAGCAAAACAGGGGAAAGCCTGGAACAGCATTACACACACGATTTAGCCAATGGGAGCCCGTCTGGTGCTGACCACATCCTCCAAAACCACATACGTTTCAAGGTATTTTACTGCTATGATCAAAAAGCATACATTAAACAGCTCATTCATCCTGTAAAATTCGATTCTAAAGGACATGCCTTAAAACTGCACCTACAATACTGCTTTCATAGAAAATCCATCTTCGGTTTTCAATCACACACACTCTCTTCCTTCTTCACTTGCGCTCACTATCCAAAGCGCCGCGCTAGGAGCTTTACTGCGCCCTCTATTTAAAGCACTGAATGTGTATACGGCCTCCAGGTGCCGCGCGCTCGGCTCGGGCCGAGCGGGCCGCTGCCAAGGCTGTCGCGGCCGGAGGCTCGCGCGCTTCGCTTACCATGCGACCGCGCTCGTTCTCCAACGTCTCCACGGCCTCGAGTAGCTGGTCCCCTACAGGCATCAACGGCGCTTCGCGCGACACGGTCTCGGGCCGCTGGGTCGAGGACGCGGCCGCCCGTACGTGCGCCAAGTGCGAGAAGGCCTTCTCTCTCGTGAACCGCCGCCACCACTGTCGTGTGTGTGGCGAGATCTTCTGTCACGCCTGCTCCCGGACGCGTATGGTACTCGCCACGAACCCCGGCGAGATCCCGCGCCGTCAGCGTGTATGTGACCCATGCGCCACCCACGCGCACAGCAGCGCCGTGTTGTACGAAGCCGAGGAGACGGCGGTGGGCCCGCGTTTCCACACCACGACAGAGATCAGCGAGAACCCCGTAGTCACGGAGGAGCTGCTGCTGGCCAAGGAGAAACAAGATAATAACGCCGTCGTCAAGACGCAGCGCAATAGTGCGGACGCGGACAGCAGCCTGAGTTTCATGGTGGCCTCGGCCGTGGGCTTCGCGGCCGCCTTCTGGTTTCTCAAGGATGAAGTGGCCATGTCCAACCCAGCCATCTGGATCCTACTGGCCGGCTTTGTCAAGAACGTGTACGAGATCGTCCTGAGGATAAGTGCCGCCAGACAATTCACAGACGGCGTGACGGACCTGGAAGATGCCGAGAAGATTTTTAGTGGCATGGACCTGGACGCCACGGACGACCTGTCCACCACAACCGCTACATCCACGTCGGCCGTGTCGGAGAAGCCTAAGGAGGACAAATACGCCAGTGTCAAGATCACCCCTGCGCTGAGTGACGAGCTCATTGCCAGCTCTCAAAAGTCGCTGGACAAAGTCCTAGAACTGGCCAACTCGGACGTGGCCACGGATTCGGCCTGGAGCGTGGAGATCCCCACCACAGAGAACGTGACCGTCCACTCTCGTGATGGCAAGCCGTCGCGTATTTACAAATGTGAGGGTGAGATCCCACTCTCCCCCGATGAGTTATTTGATGAACTGTATACGAACCTGGAGACGAGCAATGTGTGGAATGTGACGGCAGCTGAGAGCAACGTGATCTGCAAGCTGGACGAGACAACGGACCTGGTTCACCTCATCTCGGCCCCCGCTCTAGGTGGCGTCATTTCCAGTCGTGACTTTGTTAACACCCGCACATGGCGTCGCCAGGATGGCGGCGGATACGTAATCGCCAACAGCTACGCCGGCAAGAACGTTCTGAAGCCTCAAAAGGGAATCACTCGTGGTGAGAACGGCCCGACGGGCTGGGTCATCCTGCCCCATCCGACGTCTCCGTTCAAGAGCCGTCTCATCTGGATCCTCAACATGGACATCAAGGGCTACTTCCCGTCCAGTGTCATCCGCAAGGGCTCCATCGGTGAAGTCTCTTGCTTCGTGCGTAACCTGCGTCGCTACATTGCTGAGAAGAACGGCACGGACGAGCTCGCTGCCGAGGCTTCCCCTGAGATGCCATAAATTCAATCAGCTATCAGAAAAAAATCATGACCAATGACGAGTGATGTTGCTACTGAGCCAAGGCGGGCACTGTGAGCGGAGCGAACGCTTGCTTCTGCGCGCTTTGAGCTGTCAGTATGGCTCTAGTCTTGGTTGTATGTCTCTTGTGTCCGTTTTCTCTTAGTGGAGCTGTCGAGTTCAACGGAAAGCTCGACCAATTAGCTCCCATCTACCACTACAACTCAATCAAGGCCAAGCGAGGATGAAACCCTGCGACCGCCACTCCATCGTGTCACCTGTGAGCTTAACGGAATGCAGTCGGAATGACGCGATACCCATAAACTTTTACATTTTTACTATTTGCTTTTTCATATTTTTGTTGGAACGATGATACAATAAAAATACTACGATAAGTTTACTATTTCTTTTCTTTCCTTTTGTGTTGCAATCTTTTACCCATCCACGCCTACTTTAGCGTTAGTTGTGGGTTTTGTGGCACCCCACGGTAAGGTGGGGACAGCGAAAGCGTTGACGACAGTAGCCATGTTGATATGTGTGACTGGCGGTGGCCTTGTGTCAAGATCCCGAGCAGTGTTGACAACTTCAACAGCTTCTTCTTCTGTTTCTGAGTCCGGCGTAGCAGTGCGTCCAGCATATTTCGTAGGGGAAGTCGCTTTACTTGTGGCTTTTGCGTTTGCAGCTGCTACGCTGAATTTGGACAAGGCTTTCGAGACAGCGGCTGCAGAGCCGAAAGATGCCAACGCTTGTGTGCTAGCACTAAGTCCTGATGCTGTAGCAGCGAGATCGTTGCGATCCCAGTACCACCCAAGCACGCGACTCACTGTCCATTCAGGAACTTCATCGTCGTCGAGCTCGTCCCAAACGTTACAGAATAAATTCCTGGTAATTAATTTGTCACCTTCAAGTTGTATCGCCACGTCGATGAGTGCATCAACGTGATCTTCCTTCATTGCCATGAGGAATAACACGTCGGTGAAGCCCAATCCACGTGAGAACTGGTCTCGCTCTTCAGCACGATCCGCTTCTTGTTCGGATAGACGTTCCCATGTGGACATGACGATAGCCATGAAAATATTAAGCATGAGGATACAGAAGACGGTATTCCCTGTGTAAATAAAGATGGCACTGAAGATACCACCTTGGTCATAAATCGGACCCGGATCGTACAGTCCAAAGTTGAGTTCGAAGACACGGAAAAATGCCCGTGGGAATGTCGCCCACTCGGTGAAATTCAATCCATATAGCATGTGGCCGGCAAAGGAATAGCCCACGATGACCGAGAAGTAGATTGGGATGAAGGATATCACCTCGGGCATTGCGCCGTACACACTACGCATGAGACGTCGCCCTCCTTTTGTTACTTGGAAATATTTGAGTGCACGTGCTGTCAGTAGCAAAATGTTGAGAAGATTTAGACCCAATAGTATCCGATCCCAGATCATCAGTGGCAGCGGGTTGATGTACTCGTCGAATGTCTTGAGCTTGAGCAGTTTCTGGCGTGTAGCTGTTTTCTGACTGCAGTATCTCCAAATAATGATAGCCACGTTCACTAAGATGTTCCCCCAGTCGCCGATATTGTTCATCAATCCGTATCGAGCGATGTACTGGAAAAAAAATACAAGCAGAGCGAAGATTAGCTACACACTTTGGATCAGTTTTTCAATATTGACACTTACAATTCGATAGTTGCCTCCGGAAAGCACGCAGACGTCCCAAAGTTCGAGTAGGGCAAAGTAGGCGACGTGGCCGATGAAAAGTGCTTCTAGAATCACACGAACAATGTTTTTCTTCGCGTTAAAGTCGTACGGCTCGAGATTTAATACAAGAACGTCAGAAGAAGGCGTTACTCCGCCTGCGAGATTAAAATCTATCGTCAAATGTACGATCGATAGGACACGAAGAGAGGGATTATACAGAGCCAAAACGACCACCACTTCCTTGGTTTGACGATCCAACCAGCCGTATTGTTGCATCGAATTGGCCTTTGCCAGTTCGTTGGCACCATTAGTGGTGCTACGGAGGAAAAATGTCTGGTACCCGCTGATGTCTGAATTGTTGTCGGTCGAATACGAAAACATGTCGAGCGATTGGAGCTTCACTGAGCTCTCGTTGGTTCCGTCAGTGATGCCAAAATCTTCGATCGCCTCTTGCTTAGTGGAGTAACACGTTTTGTTTTGGAGCAGTGGCGTGTCGCTATAGCAGCTGCTACCTTTGTTGTCAGGGTCACTGAAGTTTAGTGCCGCATATCGAGTTTGCCACAAGTGAAATCCCCCTAGAATAACCGTGTGAGACGCTAATGTGTAGGCTTCGCTTCCACCACTTCCAGAGTACATGATGCTTAGAAACGAGTTGATAAACCAATCCCAGAAATCGTTTACACTCGTGATGTCATTGAAGACAATACTCGATGTTCCTTGGGGAGTCTTCAGTAACTCTGTTTCCACAATATTTTGTACTACAGAACCTGATCAATAGTAATATTTACGAGGTTAGACGAGTGCAGGAAATTTACGCAACTCGCCACGTACGGCCAGAGATGTTTCGGTCCATGAGGAGAGCTGTCAAGTAGATGGAGACGAATGTTATAAATGCCAGCAACTTTCTCGATAATAGTCGGAATTTGCGTTTCTCCTTGAGGTCTCGAAGCAGAAATGTCTGTGGAATGCCGATCGGTCGAGGCTTCGGCATAGCGGCCATCGATGTCACAAAACTCGGCAACGCCTTCATGGCTACCACTTGGCCGATCAAACTCTGTTACCGCCACCTTGAGCACAGTACTAAACGCCTCTGCTGGTTGCTAGCATGCTATTCTAGAAACTACTGATGGCCATCCTCATCACCTAATTTGGGAACTTCTTCTAAACTAGGTCAAGGACCATGAGAGATGCCTGAACCAGTTCATGTCGTCTATCTGTCAAGTAGATTTTATGGGCTCTGGTAACTAATTCTCAATACGTGCTTGTGTTTGTGGCTAACATACCCAAAGGAAGGACAGATCCCGGCGTTGCTCGGCGTGGTCCATAACTGATGTCTGGACACCATCGTCGTCTTTGCGAGCTACTGGCGGCCAAGTACCCTTTGAGCCATGAGCTGACATGTCGCTCGGCAAATGAACTACGGGCTACAAACTCGTTACTATAACTCTCGTGGGGCACGTCGGCAAACTCGATCATGTGGATCTCTCCAGTGTCAGCAAACCACTCAAGATAATTGGGTCGAACGATGTGTCCATCCCTGTTAACAAACAAGATCCATTCATCTTCCGTTGCCTGACACACTCGCAATGTGCCAGCTGCAGGTGGAGGCTCTTCCACTGCAACTTCCAGAGCAGCGCTGATGCGATCGATGCTGGAGAGAATACGAGGAGGAAGAGGAGTCATGATCGTCTGGGGGAACTGGTAGTCGCAGCTACCCGTTGTAAACTATATATCCAGCGATCGCGGCAGCCTGCAGGCTTGCCTGCCGCTCGTGAATCTTTCTTCACGAACCTTCGGACGAGGTGACGGAGAATTGGTTGAGAAATTACAAATCGTGTAAGGAATTACTGCTAAACCCGTCACCGGAAATTCTCGCGGTGAAAAAAGTGTGCCAAGTATGTGTGGGGTATTACATGTAATACGATAGGGTCCCGCTACACAACAACGCTAGTTATTTGAGCTTTGAAGTTACTAAGGGAATACGAGTTTTTCTTTACTGATAAACGAACGCCAAGTGGCAATTAACCGAGTGGCAATCACACGTGCAGCACTTAAATTTTCACGACCTAAGCTCAATCAGCTACGCTGCAAGACACGTGATACCGCATGGAGTAGAAACCTTAGAGCCACGGCATCCATCCTTGGAACGTGCGGCCGAGCAAATCCGGCGCCGTGGCCATTGCCAGTAGCTCCTGAGCTTGCGTCAGCGAGCTCAGTTCCGCCATCTCATTAGCGTCCTCCTTTTTACTACTGGCCGTATCAACCAGTGCGTGGAACTTACTGAGATGTTGCTTCAGATGGGGGTTCTGGGCCAGCTCCTCCTTCAGCAGCAAGGCAGGCGACACACCCTCCAGCTTCCTTCGTGCAATGGCAATCTTGACATCAGGTAGCCACGCGGTGGTTGCATTGCCTCCAGCTGGAGACGGCGTCACTCTCTTGCTCGATCGAGACGTACGGGGCTCTTCCACGTCCTCCATCTCCACATCACTATCCTGCAGAGTAGACGGAGCATCGTCTTCAGCTTCAAACAATGCCTTCTGATGCGTTGTGGTCGACTGCTGCCAATCCAGTAGCGGCTCGTGCAAGAACACATTCATGACACTTTCAACCACTTGTCGCTTCGAGCGTAACGCATCAAACACCGCTTGCATTTCCTGTGCGAGTAGATTGGCACCGTCATAGGGCTGGAACACAAAGTCCATTTGTCTGGTGTACCGGAACGGAATCAATTCGGGAACAGGGAGAACACTTGCACCAGCACCAAAACTTACACCAAAGTCGATGCCAATGACACGGCCACTCGCGAGGTCAAGGAGGAAATTATCCAGATGACGATCTCCAATACCCAACACGTACGAGCAGGCGCTGAATACAGCTACGGACTTGAGAAAGTGGTCTCGAACTAGCAGGAATGCCTCGAAATTCGAGCCCAGTCCGAGTAGCTGACGCCGTAACAAATCTGCTGGGATCATCGCTTGGACCTTGGCGAACTGATCCACCACGTCCTTCGATCGAGGAGCAACCACCTTGGCACTAAAGCTTGCACCCCGTTGCTTCAGTAGAAAGGACTCGTACGCCTTTGCTGCTGTCGTGTTAAATAGTTCCAGTTTCTGTCTCTTGTTGCTTTTTAGGTCGACGCAGCGTTCGTCCATCTGCAGCTGTGCCTCAATGATTCCTTTCAAGGTTGTTGTGCCGTCTACCCACTCCAATAGACCGATTTCCTGTGTCATTGGGATCACGTCGTAGGTCGTTAGAGCGAGTCTTTGATCGCGACACCGCGGGTCTGCATCGAGGATCTGATTCATCACGCCGAAAAGTTGTTCAATGCGCTGGTCAAGACGCAAGTCTTCGCCTCCCTTTACAAGGAATGTGTAGTCCTTCTCATCGCTGCAATGCACCGTCAATCTCTTGGGTAACTGCTTCGACGATAGCACTCCGAGCATCGAATCGAAGCTCAAGATCCGCACGTGCTTCGACGGATCCGGAGGACTCCAATCTACAGCACACGCAAGTAACCCATGTGAGACGGATGTCATAGCTGCTGAACGCAGATAACTTACATGCTGTATACTGCCCCGGGAGTTCCAGTGTACAGCTCGAATGGTCAAATTCCTCAAGCCACTCCGCAAAGTCTCCCAGATGCGCCTTCATGTCCTTCGTGATGCCATATCTGCCAGGTGTGACACCGAAGTGGTTCATGACCCATTCACGCGCTGAATTGACAGTTTTTGCAGTCATCTTGGAGCCGTCTTTGCCCATTATTTTCTCCACATCTCGCTTAGCCTTTCGGCTCCAATCGCGATTGTATCGTCCGATCTGGGTGCCGAGTAGTGGTCGATCAGGAGAGAAGCAGTCCTTCCATAGATGCTCCACTTTTCCTTGTGCATCTGACGTCCTGTTATCTTCAATCAGCTTGGCGATCTCTCGTAGTCCCTCCTTTAGCCGTAGCTCTGGGTGATGAATTCTACCAACCCAAAACAGCACATTACTGTAACATCGTCCAGACTTCCTCCTCCAATGATCTAAAAGCACAAACCATACAATCTCAAGGCGGTGACGAATTTTTCCATCACCGGATTCGCGAGCAGCACCTCCAGACGATGCAAGTCCACTTTGAATTTGTCCAGCGAAGATCTGCACGTGACCATGAAGTCATAGAAGAGTGCCACTGGGTATTTCTCCGCCATCTACAAAAGCATAAAGCAAAAGGTCACAAGAGGACAGCACAGCAAGCTAAGTATGACAGTACAAGAACCTTTTCCAACATCGCAACAATCGTCTTTCCGATAGGTCCATTCAGCAACGCCATAAGCTGAGCCGACCACTGCAGACACGTCCACAGCGGAATCTTGGACAGAACACACTCTTCAAAGTCCGCCACGATATCTGGGTACGGTGCAATCACGTCGCACAACTGCGGGAAGTAGTGAGCACATTCACGGTCTCCAGCAGCCATTCCTCCCAAAACATTGTCGGCCAACAGCTTTGTCAATGCTTTCCGGTCCACGAGCTTGGCTAGTTTCTCCATTTTCCGCTTGAAAAGCAAGTCGTTCAGAAACTCGATGAAGGTCAAGCGACATCTCAAGAAAGCAGAAGACGCGCCGTCGTCCATCTCTTTACGAGACACAGCATCAATGCGCTGGCAAGAGACCTTGAACATGTCCAATGAGCGGGAGAAATACTCCTCTTTCAAGTTGTCGTCGACGTCGTGGACAGCATAAAACCCAGCGGCACTCGCAAACGCCTTTGCCTCCAAATAACCCATCGCCACTTTGTCGCTTGCGTCTGCAGTCTCCATCATGTTCATGATTTCCACATTGTCGAACATCTTCGTGGCCGTCTCGTAATATCTCGTGATCAGCTTAATCGAGTTGAAGCCACTTCGGTCCGCCTGATGCTCTTGTCGATCCACCAACTTGAGCACGTGTGATACGAAAGCCTCCACCATTTGAACACTCAGTTTCGGGAGGTGGTGTGTGTTGCACAACTCGCGGTAGCTTTTCAGCATCTTCGACGCCAACGCCAGAATATTGCAGGAAATTGCCGCGTTGGCGTACTGCAGCATCGCATTGCTCTTGCTCCCTAGAACAGCCAGACGTATCTCGTCCGAGAGCAGTCCTTGATCTCGTGTATACTTCAGCAGAAAGCCGGCAACGGTGTTCTGTACCATAGAGTGTTGCGACCAGAGCACCATGCCCTTCTCCCCTGTTGAAGGTGGGAATCTTCTCCACGCATCCATAAACCCCGTGATACTCGGGTGCTTCCTCGTGTCAACATCAGAGTAGTCACGTCCGAAGCGAGAGAGTACGTCGTCAATCTCCACCATCGACGCCAGCGACTGTAACAATTGCATGCGAGAAGTCGATGCCATGGGACTTGTCTGTCTCCACATCTTCAGGAAATTCGCGTAAAATGTTTCCACACAGACACGCGCTTGGTTCTTGTCTCCTGATGACAGGTAGGCCAAGCACATCTCAACTGGGAACCTCGACTGCACAAGCTCCGTCTTTGCTGAATCACGCATTGCACCTTCGATGAAGTTCTGCAGACTGGCCAGGTCGCTATCCGTTTGCTTAGCCTCTGCCAGTCCCAAGCACGAACGCAAGTAGTGACCAACGCCTTGCTCCAGATACGGTGGACGCTGCTTCCACACAAACTCACTGTCTTCCAGAGTCGCTTCAGTAAGCTCGTTTTTCAGCGCGTCCCAATTGTTTAACGTCTCCAAGCAGTTGAATCGTTGCCAACGACATCGCGTAGCATCAGTCTCAACAGCGACGGCGTTATTGCCTTCCAGGATTTCCAGTTGCGAGTCCAATATACTCTGAGCCTTCTTGTATGATGCTATAGCGAGTGGGAGGTCTCCAGATAGCTGTGCTTGGAGTGCGAGCTTCGATTCGGCACTTGTACTGCATGTCATTGACAGCGCTACCAGAAAATTATGCTTGTGCACTGTACTCAGCAGTTTGTGCAGCAGATCCCAACAGCTTGTCACTAATCCATTGGACGCTACGTCCAGGTCCGCGTTCTTGCCTTGAATCTCGTGAATCAACTGTTCTTCAAGTGCCAGCTCACTGAGATGATACTTCCCACTCGATAACCCAGCTTCTCCGATCGTTTGTGGACGAAGAGGAAGCACGTCACAAAGACGCGGGTGTCGGATAATACTGGCGAAATATGCTGGAACTATACTTCCAACGTATACCGACGATGATTTGGAGCGTGTCAATGTCTCCTCGAGCCTCCGCGTCAGCTCGTCTGTGCTTCCGGACTTTTCAAACTGTGAATTGCCCACGATCGATGAGAACAGTGCGCCGAACACCAAGCTTGACGTCTCGACGGAGGACTCGCAGAGCGCCATGATAGGATCCACGATATCTTGCTGCGTAATCTGGATGTCAGGAAACTCACCGACGCGATATGTTCTCTTCATCGACACGTGTCCCTGACGCTGTTTCCGGTCTCGAGTTACCTGCGCTTCTTCTTTCTTCTTCAACAGAGCGTACTGGTCTTGGAAGAAACGCTTGGAGGCTTTCTTGTCATAACTTGACGGGTCTTTCACAGCGGGATTCTCTGCAGCAGCACGGCGTTTAAAGAAGCGATTTCGTCCCGGTCGCTGCTGAACAGCGTCCGAGTCGCCAAAGGATTGGCTGTAGCTTGGTGTTGATCCAATAGATGCTGTATACCACACACAAATCACAAGCTGTCGTCAATAAAACAAACTCACATGCATACAGTTATCTACGGAGGATGTGTGGGCTTACCTGGTTTGGAGAGAAACAACTGCGACTGCATCGCACTGCCCAGAGACCCATCACCTTGTGATGCAGTGTATGATAAGCTGCTAGAAGATTGCTGCGTTGTCTCTGGACGTGCACTGAATAAATCAGCTTCCACCGAAAACAGCGGTGCCATCGACTGCGTTTTCGCCTCCCAACTCGCATCAATGTGCGTTGCTGCGTACTCTCCACTGCCCAGTGCACTGGCAAAAAGAGGTCGTTCAAACTCACTGCTCTCCTTCGACATGCCGACAAGGAGATTGGTAGCATAGAGTATCCACTTGTCGTCGAACTCGGAGGAATACAATGGACCAAAGATCGAAAGCAATCGATCGCTACAGGAATTCACGATGGCCGCCGAGCTATTCCAATACTCGAACGCTTCTTGTCTCCGCTGGTCATCTGAATCGCACAGTCCATGGAGCAGAGAGACTCGAACTCTAGATTTCACCTCATCGGAGAGATCTTTCTCGAAGAGCTTCTTGGCCACAGTAAACAGCAGTCCTCGACACTCGGAAAGATCGTGGCCTTCATAACATTTGAGCATGCCAATCCCGCCGTCGGATGGATTTGCTATCAAACGATCCAGCTCTGACAAGGTCAAGTGACCCAGAAGACGTGAGATAGCTCGGAGGGTACTGAGCTGTACTCCAGCATGTCGGTGGGCTACAAAGCGACCAAGAACAGACTGCATATGGGCAAATAGGTCCTTCACGACGCTATCGTTCGCAGCCGCATTGTTCAACGAATCGGCCGCCAGCAACGCCCACGTATCCACCGCAATAGCCTTTGGCAGCACGAACGACAGACGCTGTAGCATCATCGAATCAATGATTTCTGACTTGTGCAGCGAAGCGTTGCGGAGCAATGCCAGGAAACGTCCAAAGTCTTCGTCGTTGTACGAGCCGATAATCAGGTTTCTCAGCTTGCACATGAACTCTTCACTCTCCGAGTGGCCAGCAGTCTGTAAGTATAGTCCACCGACCTCAGCTGCTAGAGTGTACAAGGACGTCGTCTTGCTCGTCATGACCAGCAAGATTCCGTCTTCAACGGTCTGTCCTGCCTCTTCAACTAGTAGCTCGCTCTCCAGTCCAGTAGTCAGCATCGCACTGATGATCTGGAGGGCAGCGAATTGCTTTGCAGCTTTCATCTTTGCGTCGCCATCGTCATTGATGAGGTAGGTAACCAGCATCCCCGCTTCAATATTCGCTGAATCCTTCCAGAGAGCGATCAACTCGGTTACGAGCAGCACGTTACTGTTCCGAATCACATTACTCCGCTCCGGACAAAGCTTGACCAGTTCATTGACAAATCGACTGGCTGTGTCGCTGAGAGATGATACCGGCACGTCTTTCCAAGAGTTCACCACAAGATTACAGCAGTCACGCAAGATATAGCTGAATTCAGGGGCCATTTGAGCCGTGCTTGCATCGAGAAGCGCTTCCATCACTGCACGCAGCCATGACGATGAATACGTCGCAAAAACGTCCGGAACATTCAGCACCACTTTCGCCACGAACAATCGCACGTTTAAACCTGTTGACGAGTCGACGATCACGTCAAAAAGCTTCTTCATCCAGCCCGGCATCGCCTTGTCACTCCAGCTAGAACCAAAGTCCGCTTTCATCTGCACCAACACGCGCAGCAATGGAATCATGCACGGATGCTGATTAAAGGCGTCAAGTTCGATCTCAATGTTCTCATACGTCGAGCCCGTTTGGTTCATGTCCGACGCAGTCATTGTGGAGACTGAGAGCGAATCCGTGTCCATGCTTAAGCTGCTCGCCGTGAAGAACTGAAGAGCAGCAGATTCATTGCGCTTGGACGTTGAATGCGTCGTACCATTCGTCTCCAGTCTGGCTTCAAGAGAAATCGCTGACAAGCTTGATAACGGTATGGTCGCAAAGGTTTCCGTCTCGGCAGGTAGCTCGTACTCCCGTGAGAGATCCAGGATATTGCTCCAGAGAGCTGGCTGGAACAAGATCTGATCAAAGAACTTTTCCTGCTTTTGCGTCCGAGAGACAGCAGTGAGAAGACAATTGTAAGCTGCACAACATGCCAAGCGGACGAGGTCGTCGACATCTCCATGTGTCTTCGTGACCACTTTACTTGCACACTTGCACACGAGCATCGTAAACTCCCGTCCTTTTCCATTCTTGTGACCCAGAAAAGCGGAATTGATCTCCGTCCGAACAATCTCGGGGTCTATCAGCCGATACAGAATCTCCACTAGCGAGAACGCCACAAACACACCAATTCGACTTCCCGGGGAGGAAGACTCAGCTGCGGTTGAAATCAGAGTCGCGAGTAAGCTGATAATGGTCGACTTCTTCGAGAGACTTTCCATCAAATAGAACTGCAGCAATGTTTCTCCAGTCTGACACTCAATCAAGGGCGTAAACACTTCTTCCAGAAGCGTTTTGCGAACTGTAACATCCAGCGAGGGGTCTAGCAACACATCCAGCAGCTCCGCCAGCTGGTTCCGTATCCTGTCACCGCTTCTTGTCCCCCCAGTCTGTACACTGCCGACCGAGACCGAAAACCTTGCAAGCATTTGCTTGATTTCAGTACGAAAAAGATGCTTCTCTGCCTCCTTCAGACTTGGGTAGATGATCTTGAGGTAGGCTATTGAGGTACTCCTCTCGATGACACCCAGAAGCTCAGAGAACAACAAATAGAACACGTCAAATTCCTTCGAACCATGCGAGACATCGACTGAAACGATCGGAAACTCGTCGAAAACAAACGCAACCAGAGCGTTTAGCGTCGCTTTTGACGCTTGCTTCTCCTTGGGAACTAGAGTCGAGCTAGGTCCCAGCATCGCCAGCATTCGCAGGATTTCAGCTTTCACCAAGTAGCTACATCCTCGTTGTTTGAGTAGCACAGTGATGGCGTTCTGGATATCGGGAATAGGTCCCATCCGCAGCGCCTCGACGAGAGTTTCAGAACAATGTTGGCATAACTCCAAAAAGTACCGGAGAACTTGCAAGAGCGACAAAGCGCGTTGGGTATCCGCTTTGACAGCTTCCAAGTTGGTGACAAACTGCTTGACATTTGCCACTAGCGTCTTAGTAAACGCATCCCAGTCCGCCGACCTGGACGGGTAGACTTTGAAGCTAGTCACTTGGCGTAGAACATCGACCAGCACGTTGACGACGAAGTCGTTCTCCAAAGACAGAGAAACCAGCTCGCTTGCGCACCTGTTCCACACTGCAAGTGTGGGCATGAAGTGCGTCACGTCACTGTATAGTGATCCATACACCTGTCGATCGGCAGGATTAATAAATATTTCAGTGATCTTCCAGCCACATGCAGCTGCAGCCTTCAGTGCTGCAATGGCAATAAGGCGGTCGTGAGGTGAGCCATGTCCATACTCAATCGCCTTGCTGGCTACCAGGGCGAAGATTTCTGCGTATTTATCTGCCACAGGGAAGCTGATGATGCCAGCACTTAATACCTGTTAAAATCAAAGCAACGGATTAGCAAATATATAAATTGTCTTCTCCTGTAAGATCAGATATCGCATACCTTGCTCCCGAAGAAAGACAGCGACGTGATAGTTGTTGAATGTTTGACAAACGTTTCGCTGCTGTTCACTTGCGTGAGGCACACTTGCAGCCTCGATAGCATCGAATCGACCGTTTCCTGCAGTTGGTGAGCCCAGTCCGGACTCCGCGCGGTCACACCACAACAAAAGTCCTCGATCGCGTCAAACGAACTTGCATCAAGAGCCTGAGTATCTGTGCAATGGAGCAGTGCCTGGAGAAGCTTCTCGGCTACAGTACTTCGAAACAGCTGGTTGTCTATATCTGCAGCTTCACGTAGCACCACGCTGCCATTGTTCATAAATGCCTTGACACAACTGCATAACGAAGTCAAGACGGAGAGATATGCCCCAGTCCAATGTATACGTTTCGACGAATCCTCCCAAGGCCCATCGATCTTCAAGAAAATCGCAATAGCCCATGACAGCGTCTGCTGGCAACTGGCCTCTTGTTGGTCACTAACTGCAGCAGAATGCTTGCGCTTCATGCTACCTTGCCGAGGATTGTCTAAAATGCCTTGAGCTTTGTCGTCCAGCAGCTCTAAGCACCACACGTAGCTCTCAATCGACGCAGACAACTGCTCCATCCATTCCACCGTAATGTTTGTATGAGCGAGTGGGCGCATCGGAACCAGCACAGCAATAATCGATTCACTGCCGTGAGTCGAAGCATAGCTCTCGATCCACTCAGGGCTCGACTTGCTGATCAGCGCGCTAAAAGACAGAAACAAACGTCGACACAGACGACGAAACAAGACCTCGCGCGCACCAGTCTGCTGGAACAGCCATAGTGTCGTCTGCTGAAGAATTGAGTCGTCATCAACGTTACGAGCGGTGGAACTTCCTTTCGTAAAGAGCTGAGGAAAGCGACAGATGCCGCGTTCAATCTTCAGCACGGCTTTCGAAATCACATCTCGCGAAATATCAACTCCCCCGACCTTGTTTCGAACGTCGCTGTCACATAAGCGTAAGGCATAGAGAAGGTTCTTCAAGCACGGCAGCGCAAACCGCGTCAATACTTCTCCGTCTTCTTCCTTCAAAGTTCGAAGAAAGTAGCTGATGGAGGCTGCAGCTCCGCTACGTTGCACAGCTCCCGGGTGGCGACAGAGCGAGAAAACTCGCTCCAAAATGTTGTCGGCCTTTGTGCGCGCTTTCGAATCTTCAAGAGCCAGCGAGAGAAATAGTGCGATACATCGAGCAGACATCGTTCGAACAGCAGTCTCTGGGTCGGACAAGCTCCGCGTGAGCTCGTCTAACATGCTCGAATACTCAAACGGGAACGTGTCACTATTTGCAGCCAGCCAGCGAAGCAACTGGAAGAGCAGCGGCTCGAAAAGAGATCTGCAGATCTTCTCCGGGTCTGTAGCAAGCCGTACGATACGCGCAAATACTCCACGCCACATTCCATAAAACACCGTTCTCTTTCCAGCTGCATGTGGATGCGTCGCTGTCTTCCCACACAGATAACACACCAAGGCGTGGTAGCCTTCACTTGCATTGGCTTTCACCCGCCGCACAGAGCTGTGCGTTGCCAAGAGACCGAGATGAGATAAAATGGGATCCATCGCTAGCGACAACGACACCTCGCTTAGTTCAAGCTCCAATCGGAAGAAGGGCGAGGAAATGCTTCCCATGCTGCCACTAGCGTTGATCACGGTAGGAGGCTCACTCATTAATAGCGAAATCTTGCCGCCACACTTGCCCAGAAGTAGTAGGATACGACGTTGCAGCTGAGCGAGGTCGGATGCTTGATTAGACGAGACATTCATCACGCCTTTTCCATTCGCTTTCACAAGCGATAAATCTTCATCGCTGAGCGCTTCTTGGTCGAGATATGCCGAGAGTAGAGGGATAACTTCCGAGATCATGCCTTCCAGATCGTCTGGGCACTGTCTTTGCCAACGTTCCAATGCCGTGACAGCGACGACGGCCGCGGGGAGATAGGATCGGCCAAGGTCCAATATTGACCGGACTATGCCAACCATGTCCTGGACGGCTACCACTTCTATGGGAGCCGCCAAAACAAACTCAGAGCACGTCAAAAGGAGTTCGTCCTGGTAAAACCGGGCTTGAACACACACCCGCTGGACGAAAGCCTTATAATCCTCGCGGAAGCGGGACTGCTGATCGTCAGTAGTTTCTGGTGAGTCGAAGAACTTCCGATCATCCATTGCTTTAGCCACTACAGCTCCAATTCGATAAAAACTCGACACGAGCGGTAGTTTTGAAGCCGAAGAAATGACCTGCTGCATGATCAGGGGTATCTGCAATTTCAACAATGTACATCAAGCGTTAAAGCCAATCCAACCTCGTTAAACATAGCAGACTAACGTACCCAGGGACGCAAAAGCGGTCTCAGTGCTTGACCGAGGACCCTCTCAACAAACTCGGTCATATTAAGCATGATCGAGTGATCGCGAGGCACGGTAGGCTGTCGTTGCATATAGAAACAAGTCAGGGAAGCGAGTTCAGGCAGACCAAACTGTATAACTTACCAGGTACCCCGTCGCATTCTTCCCGTTGTTTGTTGTCTGCAGATCAAACTGATACGAAAGGTTGAGCTGACTGATAATGCCAAGAACATGCTTGACAGTAGAGTCGAAGAAGGTTGCATGAAGCGTTCTTCCAACAATCGAGGCCTCCTTCATCTCAACATCTTCGCTTCCACTAGTCCTCGGTGCAGTTGTTGGCTCCATAGTCGTTCCTGAATGACGACGAAGTAAGGCTAACCAGAAGCCTTCATATTCGTATAAAAGATTTGTCACAAGCTCCCCCGTATCCGGATGATAGAGAACCTATAGCGAAATGCATCAGTGAATCAAACTCGAGTCATTATAAGCTCCTTTAAGATCACAAATCTTACCACTTCTGACCCAGTGACGTTCGAAATGCTCAGCATCAGCGTGTGAAGGACAAAGCGATCTACAAGAGGGTCTATCACTGTCCAGCATGATAAAGCGGCAAAGACGGCCGCAATCGACTTGTGTACCACCACTTTTGACCTCCAAAGACACTGGGGATAAGCTGTCATGACATGACACAGCATATCCCCCAAAAACTTGACGTAGCCTTCATCAAGTCGAACATCGTGGCGCTTCAAGCAATCCACATCAGCCACAGCACGTTAAAACATACAGAAATTTAACCATTAATACGCTAGCCAACGTACTTCTTGCACGAACCGTCCAATGCATTGAACGTACTGAGAGAACAGAGGCCACCTCCACGCTGTCGCTTTTGTATCCAACGCCAAGAGGGACTCGCCAAACGTTCTCAGTTTGTCTTCGATCTTCCCATAACCTTTCGCCCCCAGATAGACGTAGATCGATGTCGAAAGCCAACCAAGGCATTGCACTGCGAAGGCCGTCATCGACGTGCCAGCCGCAGAGTCGCTCACAGTCGGCAGAATTTCTTTTAGAATCTTGTTCAGACATTTCTTGCGCTGGTCGTCCTTTGCGTCCGCCAGATATTTATTTAGCACCTGCAGAATCGCATTCGAGCATACAAACGCATGCTCTTTGATCTGGCAGCATTTTTAAGCATCATAAACTCCAAACAAATGTACAGAAGAACATAAAACTCGAGCGTACCGTTTTGTTCTCACTCTGGCAGCAAAACTTCATGTACGAAAACCACACGTAGCCATTTGGACCGATCTCTTGCTGGAATATCTGCGCGTGTCTTGCTAGAAAAGTTTCAGACGAGTTCGTCACCTGGTAGCGCGACAAATTGCCACTAACTGTCGTTGCAAACACCGTGAGCAAGTATCTGCGGCACACAGAGACAAACGTTAGCCCCATAATTAAACTTCCCGCCATCCAATCATCAACTCACGAGTAAATCTTCTTCCGCAGGGCGTCTTCCCGCTTGTATCTCCCTGTATCGCGATCCAAAAGCCGAGCCAATGCAAATAGCAGTCCATTTACCATCATCATCTCGGGCGAATGGCTCGCGAACTGTTTCTCCAACTCGTTTTCTATCCAACTTAGCAGCATCGGCACATTCTCGTCCACCTCGTTAGGAAACTTCTCTATTAAGTAGCCAATCACCTCCAGCATCTGTCCTTTGGCCGTCTGCGTCGCCTTGGAGAACTTGATGTCATAAAACAGCTTCTCCACATACGCTCGGGGCTCTATATCATCGCTAGTGACGCGCTTGTCTGCGTATTTGAGCACGTTCACCACCACCTGACAGCATCAACGTAAAAACTCAGTTCACACTCGCCTCCCAATAGTAAATAGTCCTTCCTACAGTCAATGCATGGCCCTTGACTCGATTGAACGGGTCTGCCCGCGCTGTCTGTTGGCATGCCTTGTACAAGTCGACCACATGCTGCTTGGTGAGCGCACGATGCGCTCCGTATGTCTTAAGGAAGGCTGCCAGAAGCTCCAGCACGCCACTTCTAGCTGCAGAGATCTCACGCTTGCGTGCATCGTCCGCAAAGTCAGCGCTGGCGCTCAGGAAGCGCACCAGACTCATTGGCTCCGTGCTTTGGAACAAAAGAATGGTGCACTGCTGCGCCGAAGCCCGCGAGCGAGCCATAGCATATGCCACCTCCGTCTGCAGATGACCGAGCGTCTCTTCTACGCTGTCCACTGCATGTGCGTGCGCCAGGAAGGCCGCCAGCTCCTCGAGCCGTTCACCAAGCTTGGTCGTCATACTTCAACTGGCGGGATAAATGAGGCAGTTTGAACCGGACACGAGATTTTGATTCACCGAATCGCGTTTGTAAATCATTTTATTTCATAATATTCGGAAACGGATAAAATTCGTAATAAAATAGAAAGTATCTAAATCGGCGACAGTGTAAAGCAAAGTGGAACGTCCCGTAATTAATTTATTTTAATTTTTGAAATTTATTTTTTTAGAAAAAGCCTGTCATGCAAAGTTGATTTAGTGTAGTGCAAAGCTTTACGTGCCGTACTCCATAGGTTCGCTACGAATAGCTGCCGCCACTGACAACGCACGGTGGCGCGCCATCTTGTTAACCCATACGTGGCAAGCTATGCTCTGCAGCGTTTTCAAGCAGCTGCATCCGGCGCTCTGTTTTCTCTCCGTGTGGAGCAAGAAACATTTCGTCATGACTTAAGGCAAGATAAGCCTTAATGCGTGCTTTTAATACACTAAAACACCCTGCCGCACAGTAAAATAGACACAAATGTTAGTACATGTGCACGCTATAATTGTCTGTAAAACGTACCCTCAATCGGGTTACACATGGGGGAGTATGGCGCCAACCGCAACAGCTCCAGGTCCTCCTGCTCAGTAATCAGATTCTCAGTCTGGCTATGAGCAGGAGCGCTGTCTAAGACAATGACAACCGTCTTGCCAGCGAAGTGGTCGCGGTACACGTCGTGGCGCTTGACCGCCTCGTACACCGCGTCCACAAACGCAGCATTGACCTCCATTTTAATGCTGCCTCTCTGTTTAGCGTAGTGCACCAGGCCCACCTCAGGTGACACGGCGCATTGCAGCTGCAGGTTCGCTTCTTTGGAGGGCGGGAGTTCGACAACAGCACGCTCGCCAATTGGAGATCGGCCCTGTGTACGTTTGCAATACAAATTAAAATTTGTTTCATCGTAATACACAATGAAAGACCCCTTGCGCTCATGAGCCAGCAATGCTTCACCAAACTCCCTCCTCTTTTCGATATTCACATCGTTGTTACATGTTTCTGGCTCAACTCGAACCTATGCAATAAACACTAACCATTAGTACAATACAAATAAAATATAAATTAAAATAGAGCTTATTACCTGTTTCACAGTATACAACTTGTCACACAATTTCTTACTTATTGTGGAGGTGCTGACACGAACTCCAAAGTCGTAGTGCAGCATCTCCTGCATCTGCACGAGCGTGTATTAACAGTTATCCTCCAGGTATTCTACGAGGGCCTCCTCCATCTCCGACGTGCACTTAGTGCATGTCGTCCGCGCGCCGCCTCTCTTCTTGATGTCCGGGGTTCCTTGCTCGACGATAGTCCGAGCCGTTGTAGCTGGAATTCCGTTGCAATCGGCTACTAAGGCCCAGTCCTGCCCAGCCTTGTGTGCGTCGAGAACGCGTGTCCGGGCCGCGAGGCCATGCTTTGGTTCTGTTGGCATGACGCCAGAAGAAGAGGTTTTGATGCCGACCACTAGTTAGCTCTGCATTAAATCGCCATTGCTCTAAAGTCAATTTTTTTAAATACAAATTAAAAATTTCTTTGTCACTTAAGTTACTTCACACCGCTTTGCTTTACACTGTCGCCGATTTGGACTGGCAAAGGTGTAGTTAGCATGAATGAAATCAATTCGTAATTAGAAAAACGGCATTGTATTTAAAATAATTTTGAATTAGTCTAGAACTTCTAGGCTTGCTATTATATTATCACTGTGAAAGTAAAATATTTATTTTTTAATACAAAATGGAAAAGGCCAACAAGACAAAAAACTCGACCCCTTGCGCGGTATCACCTGCGATTAGTCACTAGGGCTGGAGCGTAGGCTGGGATAGCAATAAATCGACGGTACGTGTATGTCAGTAGGCTCTGTAAATCCTGGTCCCTTTGCCCGCTCGACAGTCCTATATTGTACATGTATACATGTCATGTATTTAAATATATAAGTTGTAGACCGTTGCATATTGATGCACATGACTGTAAATGCATTAACAATATAGAGGGGAGCCCTAAGCCGAGACGAGAGGTGAGAATCGTTCGTCGGGCGTGGTCTGGCCTGCGGAAAAGATACTCGGCATTGTATACGATTCCGCCCGACGATGGTTGGCTGTGTTGAACGGCATCAAGAACGTCTTTCAAGAAGAGGGCATTCAGGTTGTCGATACGTGCATCGCGCCAAGTTTCGGCCGTGTCGCCGCCCTCTCAAACGGCGAGAGCGGGACGCTACCTCCCACCAAAGAAAGCAGCCTCAGTAGCCCTGCGTTAGGGCGTTTTGCCTCCGTCGATTCCGGAGGGATGGTTATCGGCCATCCCAGTAATGCAGAAAGTGGTCGACGTAACGTTGGGGAAGAGGCCCGGACGAAAGAGGACGCGAGTCTGTAAGAAACAAATCTGGAAAAACACTAGCTAATAGCTTCGCATTTTCGACCCATTCCACAAATGGGGACCTACCGCGATTTATGGAAATTACCGGAGCCTCATTGTCCTGCCCCGGCTGCGTGTCTCCGATAGTGACAGCCATAGCATCTATTACCTCGTGAACAACCGCCGGGTCGCTTTGCTCAATATTCGAGAGAACGGGCGACGAGCGAACAGTCACTGTGTCGTCCACACCGCTCAAACTTTCATCGCGTACGCCGCTATCACCCTCGGTCTCTTCGTCAATAGCAGAAACAACGGCAGACTCAGAAATATGAACACAGGCTTCGACGGAGGAAGCCATCGCCCCCAGAAGCTCCCGCCTCTTGGGGGTATCGACAACCTGAATGCCCTCTTCTTGAAAGACGTTATTGATGCCGCTCAGCACAGCCAACCACTTGTACACGTCGTCGGGCGGAATCGTATACAATGCCGAGAATCTTTTCCGCTGGCCAGACCACGCCTCACGAGACCCGACGAACGTCACACGAGATATGCCGCTAGAATGCGCAATTGGTAGTTCCCGGGCAAGCTCAAAAGGTCCATTTGTGGGGAAGCAGATCGCGTGGCCCCTTGAGTGTCTACCGGACAACGAAAGAGTGAGCCCGAAGCATCAGGAGATATGCACCACAGTGTGGCGTCAGCTAAAACAGGAAGCATCGCGATACACCCATAATCGTGACCAGCCGCGACGCTAAATTCGTTCTTACGTGGATCGCTTTTGCATTTGTGACAAAAATGATTTTTTTCTCGATCTCGCACCAGCTCGGGTATCAGCTAATAAATGTCTTCTCCGAAAAAAATAAAGCTGTCAATAACACCGTAATGCTGGCTCCGGTATTTCTTTAAACGATAACTCCCGCTCGGTAGTAGACAAGAGAACAGTATCCAGTTGCGACAGCGATGAAAAATGGACACCGTCCGAATCTGTTTGCAGCAAAATTCGTCCACACGCCGCACAAGCCCAAACGGAAGTTGCTTCGGACCCGCATGACGCGACTAATTGCTGACACTCAGCAATATCTCGGGGGCCGGGAAAGTCACCGAGCATCGCCGAAACCAGCTCTCGATCCGCCACTTCGGCTCCCCCGCGAAGATTCTCGTCCCCGAAAACAAAAGACGCAGAGTCGACGCCACAGCAATGATAGTACGCCAGTGCTAGACGCGAATCTCGCAAATAATGCTGGCTCTCAGCGAGCCATTCGATCTCGCTCATAGTCAGGGAGCGGGCGTCCAGTACACGCTCGCTTAATTCTCGCGAGACGTCTCTGTCTCTGTTGTATTCTCGGTCACGCTGGCGAGCTCGTCTCTCCCTTTGTTGAGCATTTCTTCTTAAACGCCTTTCCTCGGCGAGACATCGGCTACCAAATATTACAGCATCTGCACTGTTTTCTTGGTTGCACTGGCGAGCTTGCCTCTCTCTCTGCTGAGCGTTTCTCCTCAAACGTCTTTCCTCTGCCAAAGCCTCGGTGTGTTGTCGCTCGTGCCGGTGAGCACGCCCCCCTCGGCCGAGAAGCCCCCTCTCCTTCGTCAGGACCAACAGACCGTTGATCAGCCGCGCAGTTTCCTTGGTCTTCGTGATCCATCCACGCTCGTCTCCGCTCCATACGCTTTGTCGCATGGGGCTTGCTCGAACCTGCACCGACGCGACAGACTGAAAATGACGACCGTTTTCGCCATCAATCCTGGGGCAAGCATCCATGCTTCCCTCAATGCACGGGATTGACCGCTCTAAGCATTCACAGGATTGACAGCTCTAAGCAATTTTGAGATACCGGTATTCTACCGCAGTCTGAAAAACGGCTTCAGTAACCGGCTTCACCTTGGGCTGCCCAGCTATCCCAGTAAAATAAAATAAAATAAAATAAAACCAAAAAATAAGCGACACGGCCTTAAGAAATTGAATTAACAACCGGAAAAAGTACATGTATCTTTTTGATTTACACCATCACTACAGGGTCTTTGGGATTTGCTTTTTTGAAGCTTTTAATAATACACTCCGTAGATATGATCGTCCACGCTCTAATCGTGCGCATATCCGCACCCAAGCGCTTTTCTTTTGCGATTCCTGTCACTGCAACCTTGTCTCGTAGCCATTCAGCGGTCGTTTTTTGAAGTGGCCCCATAACTCCCACATCAAGTGGCTGACTAGCAGAGGCGCTGTTAGCAGGAATGGGGACCACTATTGCCGAGATCTCTTCTGCTACAAGCTCCGACCTACTTCAGAAACGTGCAAGTCAAAGCTGTCCAGCAAGAGAGCCACGGGGGCGACAATTTCGTACTTTAACAAGCTCAAAACGAACGTTTACCACACCGTGGCGTCCATCCAGCCGTATTCTTGGACGGTAGACACGTGGCCAGCAGGATACGTTGGAATCTCATACGCCTCCACGGTCCCGCCAGGCGTTCCTCACAGTATAAACAGTATAGGCACTTTTTTCGTGTAATATAAATCAGAACATAATAAAAAACGCTAAACGATAAAAGCATAAAAACTAGAAACTAAAATCTTACCATCAGCTCTAATGGTAAGAGCTACAGTGAGTCTACCGGTGTTTTTCTGAATGTGCTTTACTTTAGCGGAGCCACGACGTCCTTTGAAGGCCCAAATCTTGTGTGGTGGCGTGTCGAGGTAAATTGCAGTCTCATCGATGTATATCGCGGATTGAGGCTAGTAAGAATACTCATTCCAAATTCGATGGCGAATTTCAAATGAATTTTTGTAGTGCTTCTTCGTCCTTTTTAGTATACTGTGGTTTCTGAACAGAAAATTCATGGCTACACCACCAACAAAGCAAATTAGTATAAAGAAAACAAAATAGAATTTGAACATTTGCCAAAATGGTTCGTTTAAACCAACGTTTTGTACAAACAGATGCTTACCGAGCTGAAAACCGCTGGCACATACGCATCAACGCGCCCAATGCGCGCTCAGGAGAGAATTTATCCGCTCAATAATTCTTCAGCCAAGCCCCCTGCTCCATCTTCATGTACTCGATCATGCCTCCTGTACACAAGTACTTTAAAATACGCTATAATCTACTCTAAAACAATTAAGGAACAAATTTACCTTTTCCTCTCGACGGACGTCCTTCATGAAGGTGCCCAATTCGTGCACAAATGTGATTTTCGTCTTTGCTCCCTGTCCTTTTGCCTTTTTGCTTGTCTGAGCGCCCTTGAACTCAAACATCATGTTTGTCTTTTTCCTCCAGCCTTTTAGTGTACTCAATGGAATATTTAGCGCGCTTACATTCTTCCAGTACCACCCACTCGAGCGCTTCTCGCCTCTGTTTGACGGTGTAATTGTTCTGGCGACGAGGTGCATCCATCGTTTCACAGCCATAAGCGAATATAGCGCTCACATGGCGTGCTGTCCAGCAATTGATGTAAAAAGCGTTACTTGGTTTAAATTAAAGCAGCTCTTTTTTTTGCTTGAGTCTAAATTTGCACTTTAAAGGTCGAGCTTTTGTGTGTGTGTGTGTGGGGGGGGTAAAACAGCCAGAAAGCCGCTTAACATGATTTGTACTCTATTGCTAGAAGGAGCGAAGCGCTGGCCCTGGTGACGTGAAGGCCGGAGCTGAGAGGCCGCGCACTGATGACGAAAACGGTAGTGCTGAGCAACAGAACAATTCTTGAAACGATTCAGTCTCTTGACACTGCGCTGTGGGCAAGCTCGGACGAATATCGACCAGTTTTAAACGTTTAAAGAGGTCGTGCTTGTAGATGTACCAGCATCTTCCCCATCCCCCCGCCACCGCCAGGCACCGCTTCTTTCGGGTCCAGTACTGCTGACCAGCCGACCAGCCAGCTTGCAGCTCACCTCGTGTGCTGTCTTGCCCTCGCCGTCGCGCATCTTGATAAAATTGTCAGCGGTATAACTTGCCGCTGACCGCTTCTGCGAGAATGCTAGCTGCTGTCGTTGAGCGGGCTCTGCAGGTAGGGTTGCGGACGGCTGAGCCTTCACAAGCCTGGCAATGACGTCGTGGGAGCGTTTGGTTTCCTTCACAATCAAGAACACATCATGTCCTGCTCTGTGTATCGCAAGAATCTTATCTTTTTCGTCATCTGACAGCCAGGTTTGCCGCGTCATTTCTTCTCTGGTAGGTAGGTTTCCTCCACTGAGAGGTTGCTCCTGCCGGAATGAGCGGAAACATTGCCGCTGGTGACGCGATGCAGTCATGTCACCAGTCGAATGTATTCATCTGGACGTGCATCAATATATGTACCAGTATTGCAAAGTGTACCCATTCTGCAGGCTTGGCGCCAAAATTTGCGCGGGTCTCACAGAGTGAAAAATCAATGCCAGCCGAACCAGCGCCTGCTGCAGCTCCACCTGCAGCATTACCAGCAATTTGCGTGCCCATATGTGTTGCCCGCGGTGCCCGTGTACCAGGGCATGGGAAATACAATAGACAATGCTACTTGGGGCAGATGCGGATCCGTAATAAAGACTGTAGTACAAGGTTACACAATAATAGTAATTGCAATAATTACAATGTATTGCTAGTGGCTCATGGCTACAACACTTGATGGCGAGCGCGACATGGCGCATGTAGCGCTTCATTGCCTTTACGCTCGTAGGCTTCATCGTTACAACATCACGTGTGAGCTTGTTCTCCACTTCGGCTATTGGTAGATTCCTCTGGATCAGGATAGCCATCCATTGGTAGATATTGCGAGTCACGTCATCCACAAAACCAAACAAGGCGATCGACGGTGTCGCCGAGGCTTGGAGCTCAGCATATTCCGCAGCATATCCATCGTGCTTGCTAGCGAGATGGCTCAGCAGATTGCTGTAGCCTGTGTCAGCCGCTTGCTTCCTTTTAGATCCGCATGTCTTGCACTCGAACAAACTTTCTCCAAGGCCCGCGAAGTAGTAGGCGCAGAGCTGGCGAGATGTCATATCAGTATGGGGAGGAGGGAGGGAGGGGAAGAAGTGCTTTTCTCGGAAGGGAAGTAATTTTAAGTGAGAGTGATGCTGTGCGGCACAATAGAGTGTGTAAGATGCCGTGGTAGAATGACTGGATGGTGTCTCGACTGGCGAATTGGTTGGTGGTGAAAAAATACTGTATTAATAGACCTTATTCTGTATTATACGTGTATTGATTTTTTTTTAGATAATTCTGTCAATATAATACCCGTAATATAATACCCGTAAAAATGCGATTATACTATTTTTCCCATGCCCTGTCGTGTACCCCTTCGTGACGCCCGCAATGATCAGGTCTCAGCATGTGATGTAAAGCTCATTCGTCAACTTTTAAAAGCAAGATGCATTGACGAGTGCTGTCCAGAAAACGAGAGAGTCTGCCGGCTGCGTTTGCACAGCAGGCTGAAGAACAATACTGGACGACGCGAAAGTTGGTGATTACAAGGAGGGGCTAGTACTATACGCAGTCATCGTTAGAGCTGTCACTATATGCTCTTAGAGCATCTCCAGCGGTTAGACTTATTTGCAAGTCCTATTGAGACGGATGAGACCTCAATTTTTAGGATAGAACTCCTGATTGCATCTTGTCTACAGCGGTTTGGAACTCACCGCGGCTTAACATTTTTTTGTCCAATCAAACGACGATACAAAAGATCTCTCTAGATACCGCACTATCAGAAATACACGAAGGAGTGAAGCACTGCTGGCGACGTCAAGTATGGACGACGACTCGGAAGAAGAGTACTATTTCACCTACATGTTGCCTGAGGGCGGGGTGGACAACACGAGCGCAGTGCGGGGCAAACACGGCGGGTCCACCAAAGGCAGGAGAGCAAATAAAGAGCGGGATCGAGAAATATGGGGTGAACGCCTAATGAGTGACTACTTTGGCGACAACCCAGTCTACGATGATGGTATGTATTTGAGTAAACGACATGTTCTCCTTTAAAACTGTCCATTAATGCTCATGGCTACTCGTTCTGATGCAGATGACTTCCGCAGGCGATTTCGTATGCGTCGTAACCTCTTTGAGCTCATTACCATTGCCCTGGTTGAGGATGAAGAGTGCAGCTACTTCGTCCAGCGTAGTGACGCAACTGGACGTGCTGGTTTCCTACCAGAACAGAAGGTGACGTGTGCTTTACGGATGTTGGCATATGGAGCATCAGCAGATCAATTAGATGAGTTGATTCGTATGGCTGAGTCCACAGTGTTGGAGACCTTAAAGCTGTTCTGCAAAAATATTATCCGATTATTTGGTCCAGAGTATCTTCGAAAGCCGACCAAGGATGACTTGAAAATACTTCTTGCCGAGAATGCTGAACGCGGATTTCCGGGTATGATTGGTAGCTTGGACTGTATGCACTGGACATGGAAGAATTGTCCAACGGCATGGCAAGGAGCTTTTCAGGGAAAAGAGAAGTGTTCGACGGTGATCTTGGAAGCCGTGGCTTCTAAGTCGTTATGGATTTGGCATGCATTCTATGGCATGCCTGGCGCCAACAATGATTTGAATGTACTCGAGCGTTCACCTTTGTTGAATGACCTGGTAAACGGTGTTGCTCCCAGGATTTCCTTCACTGTGAATGGTGCGACGTACAATCAGGGATACTATCTTACAGATGGAATTTATCCTGCCTGGGCAATTTTCCAATCCAGTATCAGTGCGCCCCAAGGCAACAAGCGTAGATGTTACGCTGCCCAGCAGGAAGCCGCTCGCAAAGACGTTGAACGCACATTTGGAGTATTACAACAACGCTTTCGAATTCTTGCCCTGCCCTGTAAACTATGGAGTGTCGATGCAATGAATGATGTAATGCTAGCATGCATCATCCTCCATAACATGATTGTGGAAGACGAGCAGCGAATTACCTCGCTAAATCATCAGTACCTGTTTGAAGATGAATGGGTCAGCCCGGCAGAAGTTGGTGTACCGGATGAGTGCCCAGTCGCAATGATAGCAAACGCGATGCAAGTGCTTGAAGACGAAGAGCTTCACTATGAATTAAAAACGGATTTGATCGAACACGTATGGCAGTGCTACGGTGATCTCGGCTAGCAAAACTTTTCTCTGGATCCTGTGTAGTAGGTTTTTAAGCTAGACTACGTGCAGAAGCCCAGCTAAATTAAAGTACTGATTTGATTGTCAGCAACTTCACTTTCTTCACCCTCGCCATTATGTAGTCCTGCCACGTGCGGTGCCATGAACGAACGCTCAGGTGTTTTTAGCTCTTCGCTTTGTTGTAGCTGCTGGCGCTCTTGTGAAACAGCAAGTGTCTTCCTCATGTTGGCGAGTATGGTTTTTCGCTGCATAGTAAAATATTCCTGTGATTCGTAGCTAGCGGGATTCTGCAAGAAGATAGATAGATGGAGACTTTGCTCCATCACAGCGACCTTCTTTTCTGTGGCAACAACGAACCTAAGGTGAGCTTCACCCCCAATCGTTTGAGCTCCAGCACTTCCATGACTCTCATTAGTTTTGGCGTTAGCCGCCTTTGCTGCTTTGCGGCCTTCTGGTCTCTCCAAAGACGCAACGTCACTTGTTCCTCGCTTGACTCCAATAGATGAGGCCGAAGTGATCTTGTTGGTCCACTTGGGCTTGTCCTTGAGCTCCTTCCACGCCGCAAGAAACTCGAACGGCTGTTTGCGTCGCTCTTGGTAAACCTTCAACGCGGCGTCCAGATACATAGCGTCATTCCATCCTGATCGCTCTCTGCTGGTGACCTTCGCATATATACCGCAGAACTTCGTTACTTCTGGCTGCAGTTTCTTCCATCGCCCCATTATCGCAACCTCCGTTCGTGGATCCTTGTCTTCTGGTCTCTTGTTTTCCAGCCAGTGGCTGTACAAGCGACTGCTGAACGTGCTCCTCTTCTGTCCTGCACCACGCACTGCGTCCTCCGATACCTCCAGCCACGACAGGCAAAGCTGTATGGTCTCGCTCTCACTCCACGCTAAGCCCTTCCCCATCGTACTGCAAGTTTCCGTGTCGGTGCTGAGATCGAAGGTTTCCTTTCGTTAGACTGAGGTTTTATATAAAGTCCTTGGACCAGAAATATAAGTCTTCCTGAAGTTAAAACTAATAATACCACCAACGGGTGGGGCAAAAAAAACTTGTCGAGAGATTTATTTGCGCAACTTTTGGGATAAAACCATCGTTAGAGCCTACCGCTGGAGATGCTCTAAGGGCTCTTCAGCAAACGGAAATCTTTGCTGTACTGCATTGGGCCTTTTGTTGCAGTAGCCTGAAGGCGATATCCACCTTATTGAAGGGGTTATATTTCACCAAGAACGAAGTTAGTTCAAAAGACGTTTTGCGCATTTCCTTGATGTAGTTATAAAAATAGAAATAACCAGAGCTCGTTGTGAGGTGATAATTTTTAAGCTATGGGGCACATGCAATTTGCTATGTCTTGTGTTGTGAGCGTCAGTGCGCCTCCCTAATCCTGACCCGAATTTGGCGTCCGGAAAAATAATATTTTGAGAAAAGGCAGAAGATCTCTTTACAATGTTTGTTTTGATATAAATCCATTCCAATAAAATTTACGTTTAGCATTAAAAAGCAATTTTTTGCGCAAAATGTTTTAAATTAAGTACGAAGTACAAATTTTAAATTTACGTTAAGAAAGAAGGTGAGCTCTTTTAAGTACCGGTACTCACCTTTTAAGGTGATGATATAGGTGGCCTTCTATTTTAGCTAAATATTCTAAAGAAGTCTTATATGCATGTAGACACTCGAGAACGCCGGGTGCCTTCCTTGAGTGTATGTAAGACCCCTTTGGGTCTGTAAGCTCACCTTTTAAGGTGAGTACTTACCCTTATTTCTAACGCATATTTATAAATTACATGTGCCCGGATTCAGAGGTTGACAAAAACATTTTTTGAGAGATCATCGATGTAAACCTTGGGAGCTGAAGAATGACGTTATATAGCTAACTCTCTTTTTACATGTAGTTATCCTCGTAGAACTTTCTTGACTACCTAGCTCAAGATTATGAAATCTTAACAGTTAGTTTCTGGACGATTCGTACTTACACACAAGATTTGATTCTTTACTATGTGGCAGTTCACGTGTATGAGACGGTTAATGTTTTAACTTGCCGTGAGAGCGAGGAAAATAGCTTTGTGGTAGTCAATTGATCAAACGAATTGGTCCAACAAGCGTCATGGCTGCTGAGTGCACGTTGGCTATATATTTGGACAGTATTCCTTGCAGCTACTTCAGTCAAATTAGTGCATTAGGATCAAGGGTTACATGTAAAAGAGTACGTCGGGGAGAGTTCAGGTCTCTAGAATACTGAAGTAGTTTTGTCAACAGTCTTAGCCCAACAGCAAAACTGCAAACACCGGCTGCGTTACGCTGTGACTTTGAGCACTGGCAGCAAGACTTGCTGCAAGTTGATGTCAAGTGCAACTGCAGCCGGTATCAAGAGGCATGATTGATCCCCGGCACGTGTCAGCTTCCGACGGCGAAGTGGGCAAATTGACGATCGGCACCGCCGCTGAAATCCCAAGTTCAGTGAACAGTACTACACACAGAGTTGTATCGATCTTTAATTTCTATCGTGCCGCGACAAAGCAGCAGTGTTGCGTGCTTGTAGTACTTATTAATACCTATATCCGCTGGATCATCCACCCCAAATCGTGAGCTCACTGGGCTCAGGAGCCTCAGCCATATCGAGATAATTCTAGCATTGCAGCACCAATGAAATTCATCATGAGTCCAAGTCGTCTTGACAGAACCGGCATAAGCACTACCACTCACTGGTTGCTGGCACGTGTCTTGGGTATCTTCTTCAAGATACCCAAGGGTTGAAGCTGCGGCAACGCTGTTGGGGCAGTCGCTTATTGACACGAGGTGGCACCTGCGGTGCAGGCGGTGCCGCCAGGGTCAACGGCCAACGCATATCGCGTCCAGTTGAAGCACGTGCTGAGGGATTTGCAGCATTAATCTGCTGGCCGCCACTGGCGGCCCGCCAGCAGATTACATGTAATGCTGCGAAGCGCCGACTTGCTCAGACGATCCTCTCTGTATTGATATCCCCAATAGTAATTCCCTCTTGCCGAGGGGTCCGCTTGCTAACAAACTTAAGAAAAACTGATTTCTATCCTCTCATTAGTAAATAGAAATACGAAAATGCCACGGCTGTTGAGTGTACCGTGTACTGGGTGTGATTCCTCTATATAGTAATAAAGAACGACAGCACAGCGGAAATATGGTATCCGTTGCTCCACCAACTGGTGACATGTTCGGTGGCACAGAAACCGCCGTCGGAGCTGTCTGATTGGGGCACAGCGCGTGCCTTCAGCGGTTCCGCCACGACCTTTCGGTCCCATTGGTCGATTGGATAGAGCAACTTAGTGGTCCTTTGAAATTTAATTCAATTGGGTGTTCTTATCAAACTCTTTTACGTTTTTGGACAGCTGCAAAATCACATTTACCTGCCCAATTCGGCCGCACCTCTTTCTCGTCCCACGTTGCGTCTGCCGAAAAGGCTACGGTGGTCAAAAGCCGATCCCGACGGGCCTTGCCGCAAGGCGGCGGCAGCCAGGTCGTGCGCGTGACCACGTCACAAAAGCTTGCGCAGCATAAGCGCTGACGTCGGTCTCTCCCACCTTCACTTGCACTTTTGCTGCCTACACCTCAAAGCAGCTTACAGGATTGCCAGCAAGTCAATCACCTGAGTCCAATGACAGCCAAGCTCAAGGCATCAGCCGAGCCGTCAGAGCTCACGCCGCTGGTCTACGATGCTTGTCTGTCAGAGCACGGAGACGGCGGCGGCCTCACTCCGCCACGCTCGCCGCTGCGCCGCGCTCCTGCCTGGCAGTTCTGGCGCTCCACGTCGCCTCCGCATCGCTTCTATCTTCTCATCCTGATGAGCTGCATCCCATTCGGTGGCCACTTTGTCAAGAACGGCATGTCGTCGCTAGAACAGCTCATGCTGGACGACGCGGAGTTCCCCATCACCAACACCATGTACGGTGCGCTGCTGTCGGCCGTAACAGTGCCCAACATGTTCATCCCACTGCTCGGAGGCCGCCTAATGGACAAGAGCGGCCACCGCAGTATCCGCTTCTTCCTGGTCTGGATCTGTGTGGGCCAGGCCATTTTCGCGATCGGAATGGAGCTCAAACTCTACTGGCTTGCGCTTTTCGGCCGTGTCTTCTTCGGCGTGGGCGAAGGCAGCGTCGTGGTGGGTGCTCGTGTCTTCATCGCTTCGTGGTTCAGGAACAAAGAGCTGACTTTCGCTATGGGCGTCAGTGTCGCCATCACCAACGTCTCCAAGATGCTGGCCAAGGCCACAGTGGCCCCAATCGCGCTCTACTTCGGCGGATACGTGCAAGCTCTGTGGTATGGCGTGGCTGTGTGTGTCGTCTCTGCCCTCGTCGGCATCCTGGTGTGTCACTACACTCTGAACCTCAAGCGTATCGTCAAGAACCGCGTCGTCAGTGAGGAAGCCCTGGACCCAAGTCTCCACTGGCTCAAGGATTACGCAGACAAGAAGCGCCGCAAACACCGCTGGCGGAAGTCTAACACACAGGCCAAGCAGATCTCGTGCGACAACGTACAGAAATTCTCGCGTATGTTCTGGGTCATCGTGTTGCTGCACGTCAACTTCATCAACGTCTTCCATTTGTTCCAGAATGTCAGTGCCAGCTATTTGTTCCAGCGTTACGACTACTCTATCGTCAAGGCCGGCGTCGTGAGCAGTGTCTCGCACTTGTTCGTGGTCTTTGCGCCGTTTATCGGGCTCGCTATCGACCATTTCGGTGGCCGTATCCTGCTCATCATCCTGTCGGCTATTCTGTCCGTCTTGGCGTACACGTTCATGATCTTCACCGAGATTAACCCAATCGTGTCCATGCTGCTGATTTCCATTTGTCTGTCGTTCACCCCGACGGTGTTGATGGCTGCGATCCCCAACTCGGTGAGTCGCAAGAGCTTCGGGACAGCCTTCGGTATCGTGGAGATCACTGACGCTATCGGCGCTACGTTCGGCAACTTGATGGTCGGATACTTACGCGATGAGACGGGCAGCTACCGTGCGGTGATGATGATGCTGCTAGGCATGGCAGTTCTGGTGCTGTTCCTGGCTCTGTTTCTCATCTTCGAAGACAGTCGCCATGGCTGGGTGCTCAGTGCTCCTAGTGGACGATCACGTGCGCTATCGGTCGACGACGAAGACCCCATGGACAACCCAGCGGTGCTTGAGGCTCGTTACAGTGCCAACGGAGAGACCGACCCATTATCCTTCGACCGTGCTACTGCGTAGAAGCACTCGACTTTTAGAACTCGGCCATCTATGAAATGAAGTGGCTGAAGGTCGTTTCCAGACTCGCTTCGTTCGTTGCTGTAACATGTATTTAGTTTAAAAGAACACCCGATAAATCAAATGGAATACAACGTCTTGTTACTGAATTGTTACACGAAAGGGACGTTGGTCATAGCGAGCAGTAACTTTTGACGCAGCGTTTGTGCGGATGAGTATGCGGGGAGATGAAGCCGACTCGATTGCTGACCAGTAGACACGACAACGGGGTAGCACGAGTCCGGATGGTCTCGACCGTCAGCCAACGCGTCTGCCATCTCCAGGACGAAGTTTGCGGAATTGTCGGTGTCTTGTGTCACTTCGCCTCGCTTGGTGTTACGTCGTCGCTCTGAGTTTACGAATTGCTCCAGCATACGCCGCTCCACTGACGTGAAGGCGTTCACAACGTTCCAGAATGAATCGTGGTGCCTTTGACGAGAGACCGAGTAAGTGGCGTGACGTTCCAGTCTAGTGACGAAGTTTACATCCAAGTCGGAAAGTAATTCTCGGAGACTGGAATTGTTCCCACTCAAAAGCACAACACATCGACTTGGGATAATGGAGAAAAACCCATCGCGAATAGCACAAATAGAAACGTCCCGCACGCTGTTTCTGTCTTCATTTCTAAGGGAATCGACAAGCTCTTCCCAGAATGACGTTGTGATAAATTGCAACGGAAGAAGAAGTTTACTTCGCCACGTGATTCCGAGAATCTGTCCGAAGCAAAAGTACCAAAGTAACAATTGGGAGCTTGGCACTCGAGAATGTGCCAACGCTATCGGGGAAAACAATTCGAGGTTGACATCAAGTTGAAGGGGTTTGCCAATACCTTGAACGGGTGCAAACAGCGGGAACGAAGGCGACTGGATCTCGCGAACTGCACTCTCAAAGAGGTTCAAGTACTTGGCTGTCTGCTTAGAAGAAGGTTGCTGAAGCTGGTCTTCGTCGTCCTCATCCTGTTGCTGTTGGTCGAACTCATCTTGTCCGATTTCTCCGCTTGATTCAGTCGGTTGTTTCTCGATACGAACTCGAAATGTTTGAGAGATCGGGATCGCTTCGAATGGCTGCGTGGATGAGCGTCTCCACTGTCGAGCATCTTGTGCGGTCAACTGCTTCGCCAACTGCAGGAAAATCGATGATTCGATGACCTTCGGAAGCCAAAAGCGCGTCTTTCTCTTCAGCATTGCAGAGCTACACTCCCAGAATGGGACTCCTGTTGAGAATGGGTATCTTATCTTGACTACTGGGAGATCACCGACATCTTCATTCTCACAGGGATCTTGCACACTATCGAGTGTCCGACTTGTCGTCATAGTCCTATCTAGTTCTCTTTCAATGAGTTTTTCTTTCTGTGACGAGAACAGAAGCTGACCTGCCACGATTGCAATTTGGGAAAAAGCTGACGGATCTTCAGCAGTCCAATGAGGCGAGTTCAGCAGAGTTGCGACAGGAGAGACCTGTGGATACTCCATGCATCCAATTGGTGGCTCCTTCAAATTAGACTTTGTCAAGCATTCAGGACTCTCCGGTACCCCAAGCGATGTAGCGAATATATTTCTCGGTATAGCGAGACGCACAACTCTGTACAGACATCGATTCACATGCAGCAGGAATCCAATACGAGCCAATACTTGGTTAGCCCTTAACTCTGCTCTCGTACCATAACTCCTCTCCAAGAGTAAAGCCATTGAAATATCCGCATAGGAGAGCAATACGGCACTGTTGGAACTCTGTGACGATGCAATTGCGTCAAGTTTGGCGATTATCTTGGAGTCAGCCCCCGCAACGTCACCGTTCTCACACCATTTCATCTGTGCGTCGACAAATGACTGGAACGAAAACTCGTCGTGCTCGGTAATGTCAGATGAAGTCTGATGCTCGACAGAATCTGCTTCACTACTCTCCTTATACTTGTGAAGACGATGAACTGGATACTCGTCTGGTGACTCTAGCATTTCGCGACAAGTACTTAAACTCCAAGAAGCGAGTTGAGAAGGAGAAGCTGTCCCGTAAAGAGATGACCCTCCTCCTTCATCAACTTCGTACCACAGCTCATGTCGATACTCGCCAAGAACAGTACACTGCCCTTTGGAGGTAAACACAGTGTCTCCAAACGCCAGTCCGTATTTCTCCTTTATAGACTTGCTCTTACTAATCGCAATCACTTGTCCAAGACAAGTCTCACGGAATAAAACCTCTCCACGTCTCCAATGGTCAAATTCCTCGAAAGCCTTTTCAAAAAGCCTGGTACAAGAAATATCCACCCCCGTCACGTGACGTTGGTACGTCAATACACTCTGCATCGCTTCAATGAGCTCCAGTGTTGAAGCATTCTGTGGCCGACCGTCCTTCGTAGCAAACGTTGTGGCAGCGGGTGGAGGGATCAACGTGACTTTATCGTCTTTGTTGTACATGGAGAATGCTGGAAACCATTTGCAGTTTCCGTCATTATCTGCTCGATTAGTCCCTGCACGCATATTGGTGGCTGCGATCCCCAGATATTCCCCGTTGCGGCTGAAAGCGAGAGCTCTGGCATTACAGTCCAACGTGACTTGGATGACGTCGCCTTGCTTGAAAATTTCCCCGTAGGAATGCAACTTTGCCTTGTTGTGCCAGATCGCCTTATTGGCGAGGAATCCGTAGCCATACGCGTCACTGCCGACGTAGTTGTCCATACTAGCGTCTGCGGTGCACACCCCAATGAAAATGTTCTTCGAAACGCAAGTATCCAGTCGCACTTGCCACGAATGAATCCCTTCCTCGAAGGCGACAGACGTACGCACAGAGTGCCATTTCTTGTTGACAGTGTTCGTAGCAGTCAGATTCTGATTATCGACCACTAAGTTCTTCCCCACGGACTCTCGGTCGAGTTCAAACACAGGCTCAGGTGGCGTTTGCACTTTAATTCCTGTACCTTGCGGTGTCGTGGCGCTAATACTGTCGATAATTGGTTCAGCAGGGTCGAGTCTAATACGATATTGCGTATCTGGCAGCAAATTCCGGATAGTGTATGCCCCTTTCGATGGTAGTGCCTTTGTTACGGAAGAGTCAGAGTCTGGACGTTGACGGGTGTCTTGTGAAACGCGAAGTAGCATAACTCCAGAGTTATCCTCTGTGGTAGACGTGTCGGTTAAGTTGTCGAAAGTTGCTGACATTTGGGCCGCAGAAGTTTGGTCCCATGATATCGTCACGTGTGTTGCCGAGTAGTTGTTGACTCGAAGGTTCAAATTGTGGCTCTCCGACGGTGTCTTGTCTTGACCAGAGTCATGAGCAGATGAGCGCACCAGAAGAGCAAACAGCGCGTTCGTCACGTCAGAGTAGAACACTCGACTGTACATCTCCCGTCGACAGCGGAGTGTAAAGAGTTCTGTCAGATTTGTCAGTTGAGTAGCCGAAAGAAACTCCGACAAAGAATCTCGAGCGCGAATCACGAACACAATTCTCGTCATCAAGCGGAATGCCACATATTTCCACGTCTTCAAGGTAGTTGACGGGCTTGACGCGATAGTTACCAACTTCTCCGCAAACGAAACGCTAGAAAAAAGAGGAACGACAACGTCGGAGTGATGAGACTCCTTTTCGACTGCCAAGGATTGATCCTCCACGAATTCTATTACCACTCCGGACACCCACGCAAACCACGCGGCTTCTGCTTGAATAGCTCTTGTCTCACTCCCACTTTTCTCACTTTGCTTACTTCGTGTTAAACTCAGACCACGATCACATTGACCTAACATTTCCTGGCAAAAGAATCCGAGAAACGGAGAGCTTTCGGACAGATTTTCTATTGGGCTGCTTCTTGACAAAGCTCGAGCTTCATATTTCAAAAGTGCCACGACAGATTTCTGCAGTTGGAAAGGACCATTCGGTCCAAATCGCTCGGAGATATAGCCCCATTCAAACACGGAATCCAGCGTATCAAGACCAATTCCAATCTTTAAGAACCGACGAAGACGCGTTGACGTCTCCTGACTTGACAGCAATCGGTGAACCATTCGGTAAACCGCTTCTTGTTCCTCTTCTTTCGAAGCCAGCAATAATAGTGACGTAACAGCTTGTCGACTGTACGAAACAAACAATGTTGTATCGACCACAGCGCGGAGAGGAACAAGATCATCCACTCCACGCTTGGACTTCTGCTCATTCTCTTCCGTTGTTAAGGCTAAGTCGCTCAGAGTTTGACGTCCAATGTGTCGTTGTCTATAGAGATCAGATTGAAAAGCGTCACTGCTAGTCTCATCGCTTTGCTGGTCTTTTTCTGCGTCGATAAACGCGTTGATATCTGCCAATGCAGTCCCGGTAATTCCTGAGAATGAAGAACGAGGAGGACGAAATATGGGAACGTTCGAGCTTTTATCTTCCAGCTCCGTAACCTCGCCACTATCTGCAGCAAAAGTGTCGGCAGACTGACTAACCACAAGACCAGGTAAGTGGATCATCCCGTCATCTTTGAAGCCAGCCCTCGGTGGCACCTTCGACGCTCCATCCTGCGCACTTTCCTTCTCCATTTGCTCCAATATCCAAGCGACTGCGCCTGTTTCATCCATAGACATACGCGTTTCAGTAGCACATCGAGTAACCCATTCAAGAGGGAACCCAAGACCCGTTAGCCCTTCTACCAAATCTCGACGACGCTGCGCATTTTCCTCGTCATTTTGGTCAGCTGAGTGCGTGTCACGTCCATCTCGTGAGCATAAATTGAGCGTTCTTCTAACGCTATACAAGCTGTCGGAGCCTGCCAGTGTGATGTCACCACCGTCCGTATCACTATCTCCACTGGTACTCCAGTCTTCCGATGAACCATTTCCTTCCTTGCATAAGTTATCAACACTATCAAGTGCCGCGATAACAGGCCGGAAACGACTTTGGTCGTCGTTATCAAGCACGGGCAAGTACTTGAAGCCTCTGAAACTCGATACCTCGCTTGAAGACACAATAGAGCGTGTGCCAAAGTGAAATTCAGCCGACTGATGGACATTCAACGACGCAGCTGGACACATTCGGGAGCTGGACGTCATCGGGATGCCTGAAAACGCAACACCTAGGAATTTACCGTTAAGAAAGTAGCTCATCTTCATCCGATCTGTATCCAGCAACACGCCCACGACGTCATCTGCTTTCCACTGCTCGCCATAGTCGTAGGAGTTGACGTTCCACCTTTTGCACCGGAATCCGTCAAACGCCCAACTGTTCGTATGGTCACCCACACCTTGACCTTGAAGAGGGTCCGCAGTGAAGTCTCCGTCCACATAACCGATTTGCATGAGTCCATCAGTAAGCACAACGACTTCAAAGAACCACAACCCACTGCTCGCACTAATAGAAGCTTGGGATAAGTGTACGGTGGGGAAATGTTCCAAAGCTTTGACTCGGAGGTCGTTCAGCTCGACTTCTCCTCCAACGACTTCAAGAGATAATCTCCCATCGAGTTGGCTACTCTGCCACCAAGGATATAGTGACGTTGAGGGAGATCGAGTAGAAAACTCCTCCCATAGTCGCCATTGGAGATTTTCCAGGTCAGCAAGTGTTACCGTTAACGGAACATTTCGATGGTGTTTTCCTCCACGTAGAATTTCCTTAAGGAAGACGCGCAATCGACGAAGTTTCATTGCGATTTTTGCATCAGGACCGAGCAATGTCACGATCTGCTCCTTCAAGCTTGAGGACGCAGTCAGGAGTAAACTATCACAAACAATTGACTTGTTAAGTACGAAATGATGCCACGAATTGCTCGTTGCTGAAGATTGTTCCCGCAGTAGTGCAGTCATGAGAACTCGAAGTACACGTGCGCGTTGATGAACTATAGAAGCAATTCGTTGATCCAGCGCATTCGTTGCAACAATATCATTGTGACGCTTTGCCAGGATATCTTTCCTTGCTGGAAGATGTAGAACATTTTTTGTCTCTTCGCTTAGCATCTCAGTCACGAGAGCTTGAATGTTACGAACGTGATTATCATTATCCGAACGAACCACAGAATCGAACGGGGAGTTGTAAGCTTGAATTGCAGAGGGCAGAATGGCTGCCTCCTGTACAGAAGCTCGATGGCTATTTACAACTTGCTCTGCATATCCAGCGATCGTGCCTACTACAGCCGACATTTTAGCAAGTGAAAGATCACTGCAGTCTTCAGCCTCAAAAAGCTCCTGTAACACTCCACTGTTCTGGAAAATAACACCCGAAGTCTCGATAAATTGATCCATACGTCTTCTCCACAAAGGTGAGCAGCACAGCGTTTGAAAGAGGTGTACGGCAGCAGCAAAGCGCATCGATGCCTTCAGTTTTAAGGTCAATATACCGGTTTTTGTTTCGTCAGATGCCTTTTCACTTTGAAAATATCCATGCAAGATACCGCGTTGGTGCATCGTTCGATACAGTGCTTCGTTCTGTCTCCGTATCGTCGACGTAGAAAGGAGAGGAGTGTTCTCGTTCAAATCGATAAAAAATTCTTCGAGATTCATCGTCTTCATCTGACGAGAGCCGAACAGTTTTTGACCTAGAATTTCGACGTCAAACTCTGCAAGTGGCGAAGCTCGCGGTAGAACAACTTGGAGAAAATGGCAAAGATAAACTTGCGCCAGGTCCTGATCTCGACACGTGCGTGCCAGCATGTGGGTCAAGAGCGTAGCCCATCGGTTAGAAGACGGATGCTTGGCAGGCGAACCTTCACTCGAAAGCTCTTCGCCAGTACCGACAAGTTGACACAACAAGCCTAGTACTTTGGCACAATGATTTTCTGCTATACACCGCTGCTTTAAGCGGAACAGAACGGGGCCATTACACTGCATCCGAGCGATTATATCCTCCGGAAGAGCCTTATGTGCTACAAAAACGTCGTCCACAACTGCAGTAAATCCAACGATCGGCTTTTTAGGTAGAGCCGGTAGTCGTTGTAGCTCCGGTGCGTTGGTCTCGTTCCGATTTGTCAATGTATCCATATCGGCGACGCCCCCTACAGTCATTTGAGTCCACAAAGTTGCTTTCTGTAGAACTTCCGAACAGAAAATCTTATAGCGATCTACGGACTGTTGACTATTGCTGAGCGTTGAGCGCCTGGCTGCTACAAATATCTGAAGCTGCTCGGGTTTGTCTTTGTCAAAGCTCAAGACAATCTGGATCCATCTTCTACGTGGTATATGTTCATCAACGAAGACCGAACACCAACCGTTGGTCGTGTCTCCTTCACACTTTATCGAGAGCCCGATCGACACGTCATCGGAGGACGCGTCACGAGTAAATACAACCAATGAGCCACTGCTGTCAGGACCGGACGAGTCATTCGTACTAAGCGTAATTACCCGCACAGAGGACTCCTTCGACCACGTGTGAGCTTCATTATTGGGAAATGCTGCACCTGTGTGCTCCACGTAAACCCAGAATACCACAGTCAGACTCGTAGTAGCTTCGCTAGTATTAGCTTTGGGTATTGCGATGTCACAAGAGTTCGAATGAGAGAATTGAACCGGACTTCCGAACAGACAAACTCGAGAGTAATCTTGCTTCTCAATATTCTTCTCCAATGGTCTTATCACCTCAGCATACTCTTGTGATGACATTTCCAGGGCATCCAGTCGAGTTTTGGTTCCTTCCAGCATTAAAAATAAACCGTCTGTCATTTGCTCAATGATCTCTTCGGTACTGGAGATGACCATCTTCTTGGGCAACGTCAAGCGTCTACGCGGGGACATCACTGTACTTCTAGGAGTCAGCGGTTCTCCGTGCACATTGGACCCCGATGAACGCAGCAATAGATATTGTCGATGCTCAGCAAAGATATCAGACTTGCTAAGCTGTATAGCAATGGCACAGAACGCTTCCCAAGCCAAGATACTAATGATCTGGCCAGGGGTTTGGTCAAACAAGAGAGACTTGACGGGGGATATCTTCGTTGGCACTTTGGATTCGCACTCTTGGTAGTCAGTCGGATGTGTGAGAGCATTCGTATCAATGTGTGTATCCAGCACGTTTGCTTCGTCAAGAAGGAGCTCGACGAGTGTACTCATAAGTCCAGATTTTGCTATCAAGGCCACAACGCTAGGGATTCCTCGGTTTGACGTACTAAGAGGCACTGTCCATGCCATTAACGCCTTCTTCTTCAGCTCGAACGACGCCTGATCATTCGATACAACACGTGCCAGTCGAACAAAGAGATTTTCGATAGCCTTATCGATAGGATGGCCATGCTCTCCAATCCGAATTATTTGGTTCGAAGCAGCAGGAACCAAGTTCACCCGTAACGTAACAGCGACAAATTCATCCAGCAAGCAGCTTTTCGAGGACGACGTGGTCAGCTTTCGAAGAAGATCGTGCAATATGCAGATCCCCGTTCGTAGCAGAGCTCCATCTGCTATCTTCATAGCAAGCGAGTGTTCGATAATACGCACATTGTGCGATTTCGTCAGAAATTCGAACATTTCAAACATAGATTCATCCGTTTCTAAGTCTCCATCTTCGCATCGTAAAATGTGTGGCACAAACACTGGATTGGGCTGCAGCCTCAGCAGCAATTTCGACAACTCGATGGCGTTTGTTACAATCTCCGAGTCAACCGAATCATAAATCCACGACCCCGATTTGGTGGCACTAAGGAGAACAGAAAACACATCCCAAATTCGACCTATCGGTGCCACGGAGTCAATCGCCGTACCACCTTGAGCCGCAGTGACGTACAGTTCGTAGACAGAGCGAAGTTCTGAGCTCAGACCTAAGTGCCACGACGATACGCTCACCACAAGCATTAATAACCTCTGCGTTTCGATCGTAATATCCACCTCCTTCGAAAGTTTAGCAGCTACCCAAGTCCAGAACGACATCGATTTGCTCGGAAAGTCTGCGTCGCACAGCTGTAGGAGAACGTGCCGACCGTGATCTGTGCTTGATAATAGCGAGCTAGAGGCAGTAGCGTCTTCATTAGCACCAACAAGTTCGTCTTCAACTTCAAAAACACCCAAACGCTCCCACTCCAAAATATTGTGAATCGAATTGGACACGTGTGCTCTGGTAGATAATACGTCCTGGGTTTCTAACCGACCTTGTGACATCACAAGCGAGTAGTAGTTACCACGCTGAGTATTCTCATCCAACCCCATGGTGAACGTCCCCCATGGATGAAACAACTCGCAGCTCAGTTTTCCGCAAAGCACCGCGCAGACATCAGCAAGATCAACAAACCAGTTGCGATCCTGCGCAGTAGATCCGAGTGGTGTAACAGTGTCATCGTGCGTTTGATTGTCAGAACCAGTGTGCATTTTCCAGCTGACTTCATCCAGCATCTTGAGCATAACATGCAGATTCGGTAGAATCCGCTCCACTAAGACCAAATTGTCAATAGATTTCGACACAGGCACTAAAAGTATCGCCAAACACTCGATTGCACCGGGGAGCAATGTCTGAAAGAAACTTCCATTCAGACGCCACGTGATGATCTCTTCGTGCTGGCGACTTGACGTGTGAAGTCTTCTCAGCACTGCCAGAGACTCAGCCATCAATACATCTATGTATTCGTGAAGAGAGTCCAGAATCTGCCGGTTTGAAGCTCCCGTTCCATTCGCTTCCGTAGCCGATCGATGAACTATACTGAAATAGTGCATCTGTAGCACTAGCAACAATCGCAAGAAGCAATCGGGTGCATTCGTAAAGTCAGAGAATGCCTCATTGTCGAGATGTTTGATCGCTTCTGCACTGCTCCGCCTTACCAGCACGATCATAAGAGTTTTGATATCAAAGATATCCTTCCCAGTCGCACTCATATCAGCCGGTAGCACATTTTGTCTCAGTAGACCAAGAGGCAGCAAAGACTTGAATATCTCCGTCATGGTCGAATCCTGTGCACTTCACGAGTTAGTTTTAAACTCGACCAAGAACTTGTAAGTTACTCACCTTGCAGAGTTGGTCCGAGACGATGACGGTTCTCATAGAAGGGGTGTCGACCTTGCAATCGTCAAGAATCTCCCATAATAAGCTGCAGCGCGAGGCAGCTGTGGGGTAAAACATACCGAATCCCATCTAACCAAAGCGTATTTAAGTAACCTATCACTGTGCAAGGTTACAAGATGATTGCGTACCTTCAAAGCGCAAGCGGCTTCGTGACTGACTGCATTCCCAATAGCAATTAAGTTCTGCACTCCATCCGATCTATGAGATCCACTAAAGCGGCCAACAGAGTCTTCTCCTTTCAGACCGGCGAGACTGTCCAGTAGCTTATGGACGCGACGAAACAAATCCCCCGATTCGGAGCAGTACAATCCTCCAGTTTGAACAGGGAGATGGTAAACTTCCAGTGATTTTTTCAAATTTAGCTGAAGAATTCTCAAGCAAGAAAGCGCAAGAGCCATCCGCTCTAAGATTTCCAAGTCATTGTCACCCCTCGCAGTCTTTTCTTTGAAGCCTTCACAAGATGAAAACCACCAGAGAAGATGGAGCAGCGTATCCAACGACGCATAGCTGGTGTCTGTAGTATATGGGATCAAAATGGTTTTCTGCGCTTTCAAGTTTGGCTCTGACACCTTTAAGTCGTGTCGTTTCCCGTCTAATTCGTTGCAGGTATAGCCCGTAGCAAGGCGATCAACATGACCAGCTATGAACAAAGCTGCACTTCTTGCTGAATCTGGATCATTATACGTGGTAGTTGGAGAGTTTCCTTTTGGATTAATCCCGTCAGCAACACTCAAGACCCAGATTGCCCCGAATTCCTTCTCTCGACTGCTCTGATGTCTCTTGTGTCCAGTTCGCAAACGATTATTTAGTCGAGTAGCTCCATGACTGGATGAAGCTTGCTGTTGTGCTTTAGAAATAGAGGCGGGTTCGCTCTCACTCTCACCTTCGTATTGTGCATCATTATCTCGAACCAGAACTAGATTATACTTGTCCCCAACGGCTAAGGCTACGGGTGTTAGTCCGCCTTGACCAAAGAGTCCAATCTTCGTGGGGCGTTTCCGTGTTTGACTGTCGCCATGACCCAATCGACCACTGTCACCCTGTCCACAAGACCACAATTCGTGGTCGTAAGTCAGAAAGACTGTGTGTTCGCATCCCGCTTTCGCGTCTTTGACATGTCTACCCTCCATGGTTCGCACAAGTGTGGGGGTATCAAAGCTCTCTTCATCGCCGTGTCCAAGTTTGCCATTCGTACCAGACCCCCACGTATACACTTTCCCACTTGCCGATACGGCAAGTGAATGATCCCATCCACACGCTACTTTAACAATTTCCTCTCTGGCATCTTCTAACGACTGTATCAGCGTAGGTTTGAGCCGACGATCACAGTCGCCGTGTCCAAGGACAGGAGGGATGCCAGCACGACGACTATCCTTGTATCCACAGCCACAAGAGTATACACGACCCGAAGCCGTACTAAACAGAGTGTGTTCCCAACCACCAGCCGCGTAAGTGACGCATTCTGCTTCTTCTCCATCTTCGAAGCTTTCAATCTCTTGGATGGTCCATTGATCGTTAGTGTGGCCATGACCACATTGACCCTGATTGTTCTTTCCCCATGTATACGCTCGTCCGTCCCACGAAAGGCCTAAGGAGTGCGAAGCGCCACAGAAAATATGCCGAAATCGTACAGGCACGCTTGTACTACAGGATTCAGGTCCTCCATCCGCCTCTTTTCCTTGTTCAATGGTTGGGAGTATCACTCTCGTAGGGTTAGAACGGTCATTGGTGTCGCCCAAACCCAAGCGGCCATTTGAACCGTTCCCCCAAGCGAAGAGCTCTCCTGATTCCATTAGCGCTAGGGTATGCCCGAGGCCACAAGCAAGGTCACGAACTCGTCCTTTCAGTCTCAAATGCTCGATCATTCGTGGTGTATACTCTTTCGTTGAGGATCCGTGACCCAATCGGTATTTATCACCATTGCCCCAGGCCATCGCGTCACCCTTAGCGGTAATAGCAATGCTGTGTGTCGAAAGCGAGTCGATCCTACGGAAGAGAATGTCCCTAGTAGCTGCAATCATAGTCGGCACCAGCTTGTTCTCTGTGCAATTTCCTTCTTGGCAACTGACGTGCACACACTGGCCATGACCTAACTTCCCGTGATCGCCCTTACCAAAGCTCATGAGATAGCCACAAGGCTGATCTTCTTCGCCAATTGTTGTCTGTGCTCGCTCAACAGAAGCCTCTGCCAGCTCACGAAAAAGCGGCTGGAGAGGTTCCAATCTCACTCCGCCAAGCTCAGCATCATTCTCCAGTAGCAGCTTGATCCCTTTTAGCAAATAGCCGAGTCTACCCCACTTCAAACTCAGCGCCACATACGCTACAACTACAGTAGCTCGGTCACTTGCAGATAGACAGACCTTTTCCTCACCCATGCAATCACTCTTTATACCCAAGAGCTCTTCAAACAATTGAAACAATTGATAGAATACGCTCCAAACATTTCCCTCATCCTCTAACTCCACCGGAACCTCATCCGTTAAACCCGGCGACAACACACACGTAGGCATCGACGTCAATAAACTCGGTAGTTTGGCTGCGATTTGCACCGAAAGTCGACTATTCACTGCGAGTTTCAATGGATCTCGCAGTGACTGACACGTCCGGAAGAACATTTTAAGCACGATTTGCGTCGGTAAGGGTAGTTCTTTGAAAGCAATAGGGACATTCGTCTCTATCGTGTCTGGTCGCTTCAGAGCGTTATTTGAGGGTGAAGTGATGTACAGATCTGCCTCCTTTTCAGCATACAGCTTATCTAGGATGTTCTGTAACACTAAAAATCTCTTGGTTAATTGTGGCGTCGGTCCTTTGGCGTACAGCGCCTTCGCTCGCTGCACAATCCGCCAATGCTCCAGCTGTTGGCGCTCTTCGTCCGAGAGCTTGAAGGTGGAGCTGCAGTCGGCAAAAACGCCCACTGACTGAGCTGGCCCATTCTGATCCTTTTGCCGTCGTCCTTCTTGGAGTTCCTCGTACCGATCATTCACATACGCGCCGTCCTGGAGTAGCAGCGCCTCCATTTTCGAAGTGATCTTGTTGAAAGGTCCCTTTAGAACTAAATTATAAATAAATATTTCGTTGTAGACTTAAATCACAATCGGTTTTAAGAGGTTTCTAATTGAGCGTTTTGAACCTACGATACCTCGACAAGCTAAAGATGACGGGGGAGCTGCTCTTCTCGGGGCAACTGCTGGCTGTGACGACGGATGAGACCAACGTCGCTCGTGTGCAGATCCAGAAGGAGGCCATCTCTTTTCTACAGCGACTGGCTGAGCCTGTGCTCGTTGTGAGCTTCCATGGAGCCAAGAGAAGCGGCAAGACGGCGCTGGTGCGGAGTCTTCTTGGAGTTGAAGAGGAGATCGAGACAGAGTACGGATCTCGCATCATACTAGCGCAATTACTATGGTATGACTGAATTATATATGATTTGTTTAATTGTCATTGCAGCGGTGCATGGCTGTATATTAAGCGCGCTAACTACCCCAACGCTAAGTATCTGGCTGTCCTGGACCGACCGGGCTTTGGAGAAGACAAGGTGAGAAGCAATTACCGTATGCTTATCAAATTTATCACGCCTAATTACGTATTTATTATGTGCAGCATTTGGACATGCTGCTATACTCGATCCTCGCGGGTCTTAGTAGTGTAGTGGTGCACCATGTGGATGGCCACTTGACTCCTGAAGCTGTTGACCAGTTCGGGTTCCTCGCGTCGAATACTGAAGAGAGTGACGCACCTGCTTATGGTAAGATAAAATATATTAATAATATTTTAACCATACTATGACTAATTTTTGTGTTGTTGATTTGGTAGTTTTTCCTCAGTCACCGAAGCTGCTTTGGGTGTTGCAGAATGTCACTACTGGTGAGCTAAAAGAGCAGGTTCAAGAGAGTGGGCTATCACTACAGGAAGCGGAACAGACGTATCTTTGCAACGCATTGGCCGCATTGCCTGGAGACTCAGCGGGTGCAGAATTTAGCAAGCTTTTCGAGTCTATTTTTCCAGACCAGGGATGTTTCGCTGTCCCTCCAACTGGTACAGAAGCGTTTGAGAAACGACTGGAGAAACTCTCTCGCGTCTTCACCGACTCCATCCACAATCGCTATCTAAAGGGTGTCGTCCTAAATGGACCATTAATCGGGTCAATCGTGGTTTCCATGCTGGCTCATCGCGATAACGTGTTTAAGGTAAGATCTAGAAATTTAGAACTGCTAAAATGCTTCCAGATTTCAAATTGTTTCTATTTATTTAAAACAGGCGTTTAAAGGTCGGATTTGGAAGGATTCGATTCACAATTGCTGTCTCAACGTCGTCGAGAATGGAGTCAAACTCTACAAACTTCGTATGTCGGAAAGACTGGGCAGCATTGTCGATGTTTCGGACCTGAAGGCGTTCCAGCCAGCACTCGCTCCTGTCCGAGAACGTCAAGAACTGGTCGAGGTCGGTACTAATGAGTAGTTTGTGACGTTCATATATCTCACATTCTTGCTGTATAGTTGCCATGTGAGAGCGATGTCCTCTATTCAGTTCACGTGGCTGCAAAACGTGAGGCAAAGACGACGCTGCGCACGATGCCTGTTCAGTCAGGAAAACTCAGCACATTGCTCCAGGTAACCAGCGTCGTTAGGATAACATGTTTCTTATTGTATATAACCATTCTTTTTTTGTATGCAGAAACTCTTTCGTGACCTGGTCGAGTCAGTGTTTGCCTCGATCCAGGAAGAAAACAACCGTATTTCTTCTGAGCTCTGTCAGTCTCTACTTTCTACGCTTCACACCAAGATGACAGAAAAAGTTGATGCTCATCTACTGCTGGGACCTCAAGAGGATGACGACGGATATTCCTTCCAGTCAACGGAGTTCAAGGTACGTGTCATGCTTTTACTCTGCGCTTGAATCTGTCAATTAAAACCTTTTTTTTATTTGTCTATTTCCTCTATTTTACAGCGCTTTTATCACTATTACCAAACGTACGTGTTTGAACTGATGGCGGACTTCACAGACCAAGCGAAAGGTCCAGTGAAGGTAACGTCGACTGCTTCCCTCGTGTTAGAAGTAACGCTGCTTACTCGCTTTGTTCTACACCGCAGAAAGCGGAGCTGGCTACGTTCATGCACGACACTATCCGACCTCAACTTGCTGAGTTTTCTGAGAAGCTAGACAAGATCCGTCAGCACGATACAGATGTGGTAGAAGAGATGATCGAGAAGAAAGAGGAACAAGTTGAGGAATTCAACGCCAAGCACAAAATGTATCAGAAGCAGACAGTGGATGCGCAAGAAGACGTCAATAGGCAGCTGGTCGAAGTGGCAAAACTCCAATCGGTAAGTGCACAACGAGGATTTTTGCTTCATACGCAGTCTGACTGACGATACTTCGTCGCTATGCAGCTACGCAAAGAAGCGCTTGTAGGTGCCATTAATGACCTGACCAGAATGCACACGATGGCCACCAAGCAGAAGGAATTGCTGGAAGAAGCTGCGTTCGTCTCGGTGGGCTTGTTTTTGAGGATACTTACTGACTGCCAAGGAGAGATGTACTGATGGCGCTTTCTCTTTAGGTTCAACTTCCGGAACAAAAAGTCATCGAAGCGGCTCAAGATAAAGAAGTTACGGAACTGCAGGGCTATTTGATCAAGCAGGGAGGCGGTGGATATGTACTGAACCCTCTGGGGCGGAAGAATTGGAAGCAACGGTACTTCATTCTCATCGGCGCCAATCTCATCTACGCGAAGACAAAAGACGACTACGAGCGTGGGAAAATTATTAAGGAGCTTTGCCTCACCGGGTGAGTCGAACTGAGTTTAATGTTCAAGTCTTGACTGAAGCTAATAGCTCTCTGGCTGGCAATAGCTGCAAGGTGGACCCGTCACGTGATGCAGGCGAAGGCTTTGACATCACTCCAGGCAAGTCAGCACACGTGTTTGAACTGCAAAGAGGATTCTTCGAGAAGAACAGCAAGAAACGCTCGTCAGCAGCAGATAGCGGTCGAGTCTTTAAGCTGCGTGCCCAGAACATCCAAGAGCGCGACAAGTGGATTGACAAGTTACGTCAAGCGGCGGGAGGCTACTAACTCGTCAATCGTGTGGATCAATGGCAACGGGTTTACCATGAGTGGATGTGTCGATATTGTTGGTGCTTTAGGGTCTTTTTACTCCCGACTTTCAGTTCCGTGACAAGGTGAGCGATCTCGAGTAGTGCAGTGGTTGATTGATCAGCCAGGTGTTGCATTTCATGCCTCGTTTCCTGGAAAAACATCCAAAAGTTAGGGGCATTTTTGCGTTGTCTAAAGGAAGAGCTTACAGAATTCCCGTGATTGGAAGTTCTTATCCACTCCAGCAGGTTATCAAGTTCCAAGGTTAACGCTTCCATGTGCTGCTTTAGTTGAAGAGAATTGATGCAGCTTGTCTCTGAGCAACTTGACTGGTTTACCACAAGTTGGACAGAGATACACAACTGCGAGATGCTGTCAATAAAACGGGGTAATTGCTCAGCCAGTGATTCGGACTGCGCAGCATACAGCAGTACAGGTACTTGTTCGCACGCAAGACGGATGAAGGAAGGCAGAGCAACGCGTACCACGTTTTCAGCGCAGACTTTCATCAAACTTGCATGCCGCTGATGATCAAGACCAATTGTCTTCTGTAGTTGCTGCAGCTTAGACTGCAAGACTTCCCACGCTGCGAACATCTGCGACTGTGTTTCTTTCGTTAGAAATTTGTCATTTAGCCTGCAAACCTAAGATTGTTTCTTCTGTCTGTCCTTTGCGTTTGCCTCAATGTAGTTGAGTTGATTGGATATATTCTGTAGCAGCTCCATTTCGTCGGTCTTGCTGAGTTTATAAACTGCATTTACAGTCTCCTTCGCGACTTCAGCTTCGTGAGTTAAGATGTTTTCTTTTATTTGGTCTGCATCTGCAAGCTTCGAGCGTCTCTTTTCTCGGTCATTGATTTCCTTCACGCTTGATGTTGATATTCGAGTCGGGAATATCGGTCTTGGCGTTGGATGAAACCTCTGAACAGATACACCCTTCGTCGTTGGTACTAGTATATGGCAAGATGCACCTTGTTCATTGGAGGGTCTTAGATACACAGGAGCCACTGGTGCAGTCTGCATGGTCGATTGTACGCAAACACCGCCATGACTATGAAGCTTTGTTTTCGTTTTCAAGCGGCTCTTCCGCTGCAGTGCCAAAGCGTACCGCGACACCACCACGTTCACTACCAAATACAAGCATGCATTGAGATTAGAAGTTGCCATAAACCACAGGAGAAATGTTAGATTGACTACCAGGTTTGGGTTCCCGAGGACAATTTCGATCTCTCATGATACTTGACTGATTTTGGTCTGTGCAACGAATTTCCTAATTGAGAAGGATTTCCCGAATTAGGCAATGAGGATGTCATCCAGAATAGCATACATGTACCTGCAACTAAAATAGTTGAGGTGTTTTGTACTAGGCAACAGGGCATTGCCGAGTTCTGTGACGAAGCCTTGGTCGCTCGGCATTCCACATACGTTTTTGCGTCGAGGAACCCGTATCTTGAGCCTTATAGATTCTGGTCTTAGATCTAAAAGTGAGAATTTCTAAGATTCCAAGAAATGAGAATTGATATTTTATCATCAAAATAGCAATTCAACACTCAATTAAGTAGGTAATCCATTCGTGCAGCATGCATGCCTACCATTGGCTAATATATTACCATACTTAGCTGCTCAAACGACACGCATGAATTTTGATAGATATATCCTAATTTGAGTATTTTCAAGTTTGGCGTCACGTATAATTTGAAGAACCCTTTCTGTTTTAAATTATGTTAGGCCCAATTAGTCACCAGGTTTAAAGTCATGGAAGCTGTCAGATCCTTCCTTAGCTCTAAATTAAATTTCAAAGAGTATATTTTTACGCTATTGACTCTTTATCTCACGTGGGACTATTAACAGCTACGGCAGAAAAATCAACTACCGGTACTACCGCATACTAGTAATACGGTACTGACTGTCGACAAATTATTACGTTCGCACACCGAACTCGTCGTGTAGCATAACCCAGTCCGTTCGTGGTGACCACACTCTCGTTCAAACTAAATACCGGTAATGTAATACAATGTATTACGCTATCGCGTAGCCAAATTACGCCTGCGCTAGTCTCAGTTGTGTTTAGTCCGCGGCATGGAGTGGTGTCTGATACGTCGAGTCACTCTCGGCCGGACAGGGAAGCAGTCGTGACCTGCAGTAGGTATCCAAACTAATTATTTTCAGTGGAACAAACTGTTATAATGACTCGCGTTTATAAAATAAACGAGCGTTTTTAGTTACCATATTTAAAAAAAATAAGCTTGGGTTGATTACAATCTTTTCCTGGAAGTGCTCGCTTTAATTCGCCAAGGAAGATGTGTGTTGTACACCACGCAAAGGTTTACATTACTTAAGTTAGACAGTTTATAAAAAGAACGGTTAGCATCATATGATCACAGGTATCTAACTAAGAAGCTTTGCCCTAATAGTCCAGAATAGTTTTGCGAAATTAGTAGAATTATCGATCGCTTTTACAAGACTATTTATTAAATCAGGGTTGGAGGGAGTTTAGTTTTACAGGGTGAATCATCTCGGACGTAGGACAAGAAGCCAGACACTTAGCTCACGTAAAATGAAGGGGGGAAGTAAAATTGGTTTGCAAGCTGCACGCCAAGACCTGTGTATTTGAAACGTAGTTTCCGGTTGATGCTGGACGCTTAGCTCGCGTAACATGAATGGAAGAGGTAACCAGGCAATCGCCGGGGCGGTACCCAGACCGTCACCGGTGATTCATATAACGGAAGCGTATAATAACGTGTATTAGGTATGAATTGAAAAAGACAGATGCTGGACGTTTAGCTCGCGTTACATGAAGATGCACGCCCCTTTTTTTCACTACCGGCACATGATTGGTCATAAGAACACGCCTCAAATGTTGTATTGCTCTAACGAATGGAACATTTATCTCCAAGCGCTACCCATCCTCTAGAAAAATAGTACAATTAGCTTCGGATAACTCATAAACCAATGTTTATACGGCTACTTATAGAAGAATGTTCTTTTTCTTTTTATAGACATCTTTTGAAAACATTAATAGCAACTATGCGCAGCGATTATAGCGTAATGGAGTTGAGCCGAGGCAAAGGCTCTCCACCATTTCCTCCTATTTATTAGCGTGAGCTTATGGCTAACAGGATGAATCTGAAGTTAGTAAAGTATTAAAGTTAGTACGAACATACTACAGTAGTAATTTGCAAGTACTTCGAGGTAAAAAGAAAACGAATTTCCTGATGGTACTCATTCCAATGTCTACTGTAGAGTCAACACTGGGTGAAGCTGAGCAGCGCTTCCTGTAAGCTTACCAAATAGGCAGCGTTCCAATCTTGCCCGCCTTTTTATCGTGCGTTGTCACTTACGAGCTGCAGGCGCCATCTTTCTCCACGATGTTCTGCTCCGGATTCTCACAGGCAGCAATCTTCAGCTCACACGGATTCGAGTACCAGACACCGTCGGAGCCGCAAACATAAAATTTGACGTCGGGGCAGGCAGTCGCACATTTCTTGCTAGGCTTCGAGTCACCATCGTCAATGAAACCTTCTGAGCCGTCCTCGTAAATATGTCCAACACCGCTGGAGGTGGTTGACGAAGACTTAGTAGACTTCTTCGCCTTACCAGAGTCCTTTGTACCCTTCACCATTTTTGTTGCCGGCGATGGGCTGCTGCTGTCCTCGCTAGTAGACTCGTCTTCACCATCTCTAGAATCATCGTCACGGGGCGCCATACTCCTTGCCGTAGATCCGCTTGTATTCGTCATAGACGTCTTCTCTCGGACCCTTGCACTTCTCGACATCCATTGAGCACTGGTTAGGGTACGTCACGCCATTCTCGTCAGTCACGGGTTCATACACGTCAAGACACACGATGTTGGGGCAGTACGACTTTGGAGTGCCTTCAGCTGAGCCTTCTTCAGATGCTGATTCGTCCTTGTCCGAGTCTTCGCCCTGAATGACCGTATCCGAGCTGGCGGATTCATCTTCGTCGTCATCGCGTGGGGCACCGAAGTGTTTGCCGTAAACACGCTTGTACTCCTCCAAGGGGTCCTGATTCCAATTTCCCTTGCACTTGGCTGCACGCATCATGCACTCGTTCGAGTACGTGACTCCGTTCTCGTCCGTCACGGGACTCATCATTTTAATGCAAGCAAAGTTGCAAGACCCGCCGAGCCCTTCTGACTCCGAAGAAGTCTCGGTGGGTAAATCCTTCATCTTAGACGGGTTTCCAGCATGGGCAGGAGCGATGGCGACAGCAGCGAGAACGAGGACGACAGAAACCTTCATACTGTTTTGACCGGAAGAAGAAAAAGAGTAGTGTTTGTCTGTCCGCAAATTGATCAATGATCAAGCCAGGTTAAATTTGTTTTAATTTTACTGGTGAACTGCTCGGAAATACATTACCGGTACACGTACAAATGCACAGTGTTACGATACATGTACCATTACGATGCATATGCTTCTATAAAACCGCACGCAATCAAAAATTACTGTACATGTACTTTAATAACAGTAAATACTTCGAAGTACAGTAATACTGTCCAAAATTCTGTGCCAGTGTCGTCCCATCCGAGATTTTGTCTATGATGTGGGATTAAAGGAGATAGTCTACGTTTGCACGTCGAGGAATTTTTTAAAGGAAAAATGACTCAATCGATGTATTTTTGCATTTTTAATGCTATGGCAGCAGTCTTTGTGGCGCCAAACAGCTAAAAACTTTCACTTTTTTGTGGTGTAAAATAAACAAAGGAAATGTCGAAACCGGTGTACCAGTACTGAAAATCTTGTGTTATAATATTGAGTGTAAAGAACAAAGGAAATGTCTACACCGGTGTACTGAAAACCTAGGGGCCTGTCCCGGAGATAACCTTATTTTCACACGAACCGATTTGACCAACACATCAAGATTCCAACACAAAAAGACAGGGGCGGGGCAACAGACCCGGCCTTTCTGATAGACCCTGACCGTGGGGGCCCCAGGCTAGGGCTAATGGGGCTGACGCACCCGCGTCAGCCAAATGCAGTACGTGTTCGGAGGATGTGTGTTACTTGAATGTGACCCAAAAGTTGTTCGTTGTTTGGAAGCAAACATTGGCTTCTGGCCTCAAGACGCCAGCCACCGCACCCTACACACCGCCATGGTCGGGCTGTCCTCCGCGCAGCTTCCGCCTATGAAGCTGTACGCTGGGGACACGATCACCTACTACACTCAGATGTATGTCGCCGGCGACCCCCGTGGCTACAGGACTGCTGTTGTTACGCGCGTGGATGATTCGCTCGACAAGGCGGCGGCCCCGATCGCTGTCACGACGGATGAGATCATTCCGCCAACCATGATGATCAAGAAGGTGCTAAATCGTGACGGTGAGGAGGTGAAGTGCCATTGGCGCAAATTACGCACGTACAAGCTTGTGTCGGGCGAGTTCCGGGCTGTATCCGACCGCACACGTTTTGCTGAGGCGGTTCAGAGCATCGTAACCGCTGCTTTTACGGGTGCCTTTATTGGCGACGATCAGACGCATTCCCTGACGTCCAGCTCCCCGACCACGGTTGCTGCGGCCGTTGCTCACGGTCTCACAGATGCGCACGAGTCCGATGAAAAGAATGAATACGAGGAAAAGGCGCCAGTCACCGTGGCAGCCGCTAAAACCAAGGGTAACACGAACCTTAAGATGTCCGCGCTCAGTAAGCGACCCAGCTCCCCCCCTGGTCATTTGGTGGCACCTACGGCGCCACACAAGACTGGTGCCACCTCTGCGCAAGGCCATCCATCGGAGGAAATCTTGCAGCGAGCTAATGTGGAAGATGACGCTTCAGGTGACCTGTACAGGAAGAACACCGTCGTTCTCATTTCTATGAACATGACACATTTTTACAAAAAGAAGGCTAGCAGTCTTAATTCCGATGTTAAACAAGTCGAAGAAGTTGGAGGTGAGTTGAATGTGGAGGATGGACGTCTGGAATCCGAGGAAAAGGCTGAAGACAGCGTACCAGACTCTCCTAGCCAACCTGAGCAGACAGAGCAACAGGAAGAATCTAGTCAGCCTACTCCATCTCAGCTGGTATCTCTACGTGAGATTTTGGCGGTCCCTACACTCGCACAGCGCGAGGCACAGTATCACAGACGCAAGGTGAGAAAGGTTGACTACCACGTGAGTAAATCAAAAAAGAAACGCTACCAGAATAGACGCGCCCCAACTCGCAGCGGCACCAGCATCTATCACGCGCACACCTTGAAGGTGAAGACAATGAAGGACTTGTTGCGAATCCCTGGCATGCGACTGAAGTTGGTCAAAGTGCGCAAAAATAAACCGGTGTATAACGCGCCCACTCTACCTGACCCCGACGATGATATGCCAGAGGTTATGAAGCCTGCTCCCTTTCCGGACTGCGTGGCGCAGATCTCGGAGAACATTGTGTCGGAGGGGCTAAACTTCGTCGACGCCGGCGACGTTGACCCCTGCCTATGCATCGGAGACTGCTTCGCGCACTGCTGTCAGAACGCGGACATGGCATTCTACTGCACGCCGGAGATCTGCCGTCTCGACGCGCTATGCAGCAACGCGCCACGTAATCACCCAGGCCTAAGGATCTACGATACTCGGCGCCTAGGCCTGGGCGTGTACACGACGCAGAAGTTATGGGCAGGAGAGATCGTCGCCGAGTACTGTGGAAAGTTGCAGGAGTATGAGGCTATGCGCGAAGGCCAACCCAAGGAGGCCGTGAAGCAGAGCAGCGGCTTCACCATGCTGTTGAATGAGAAACCCACGCGGGGAAACTTTGTGTATATCGAGGCGTTGGCTGCTGGAACGACCGCAAGATTCTTTCAGCACTCCTGCTGCCCCAACGTAGAGTTCGTGGAAATGCAGAATAGGACGCAGGTTAAGGTGCTGTGCCGTATGGTAGCTACTGTCGACGTTGGAGCCCAGATCACGGTCTCGTACGGTAATAATATCTGGTTCAAATGCGCGTGCGACCAGTGTTGGAAGAAGCGACCTTCACAGACTTAGTTTAAACGAATTTAAATCCAGCGGTTATAAAAGTAGAGTACGACTTCGTATCTCGACGGTATCGTGTAGTGATATATTGCTCGCATACTCTACATGCGAGGAGTTTCTCCGAAGACAGTCAAGAAAGATGCGATGATCAAAGTTCTTCATGCAGAAAAGAAGGCCCAGCATCCTTAATATTGGAAGATTGCTCAAATTTCGACGATGATCTTTTTACTAAAGAGGTTGGGTAAGAATACCATCGAAGGGTTCTTCTTAAAGCTCTTTGTATTTGTTGATATACTGTCAAAGCAAAAAAACACACACTATATCGTCGATGATGTTAAAGTCCTCGATTGGCTGATTATCAGATCAACTCATACCATGCAAAAGGCATCCCGGCGCTAGTTAAGTAGATCGCGTGCACATGCAGGATCTCAATATGTCAACGCTGGGCCAACGCCCAGTGGACGGCCACCACGATGGCCGCTTCGCGAGATCAGACCTTCACTAGTGTTCTTCTGCTTGCCGCGCGTAACCAATATCTCCTGCCCGCGACAGTCCAAGTACTCGAGTGTTCGCTGTGCGAAGAGGACGTGCACACACACGCCAAAGCCGAACCAGTAGCTACATTGACACCACATACGGGTGGTGTCAACCATCCAGCCTCCGTACGGCTGTCCTTTGAACTCCATCCTGGCGTAGTTTACGCCCATCTGGGCACTCACCGCGATACCCTCTTCGCTGCGTGTATTGGGGGAAACTTGAATGCGTTTAGCTGGACATGAAATTACACGCACGAGTCCAGCGCTCGGAATATCACCTGGATCGCGCCAGCCCTCATACAGAAGCTCCTCACGGATCATCTCAGAGACCCTGCGTACGAGAGTTGGAGATGGAACCACATCCAGACTGAAGGCTCGCTCGCTTGCTGATTTATCCTGACAGCAATTACTTAGCTCCTGTAGCAACGCTCCCATTTTCAGTCTACGTCGGAGGGTGTAATCACGCTTCAGCACAGCGTTAAACGTCTCCACCGGATTGTTCGTGGATGCGAACCCGCTGGGAGTCCAATAGAGCTGCCAGGTAGAGAAGCGTCCCTTCAGCCATTGGCAGTTAATGTACTGGGCAAATGTCGTCAGCCCCCGACCATCCATCAGACGGTTTAAAAAGTCCTCCCGCATCCGCACGAACTCGTTGTGGCTGCGCGCAAAATGCATATCGTACAGATCGCGCACTATAGTAGCCTTAGTATCCGAGGGAAACGCCTTAATCGCCGTGTACACTTTCTCCATCACGTGGAAGAAACACATTAGACTAGTGAACCGCGGGTTGTTGCCAAAAACAGCGTTGGCGGCGTTGTACTGGGCCTGGTCTGCGTCAGCCATGACGTACTGCACCACCAGTTTGTATCCTGTGAGTACACCGTACAGTCGACGCAGCGCCATGAGCGTCGACTGTATAATGGCTTGGTTTTCACCGGATACAATAAACAGTGATACTAGGTGAAACACACGCGAGGTATCGGATATTCCGATCACAATAACTGGGTACCCCCGGTAGTTGAGCTTGTATGTAGCGTCTACGTGCAGGATGAACGACTCAGGAGGCCTCATCAGTCGCATAACTAGCGTCTTGGTAGTTAAGCCGACGACGAACGGCCGCTCCTCAGAACCGTTGCCTACGACAGGCTTACCATCCACGTCCAGGTCCCACGCATAAGTGAAAGGCTGATCCAAGGCTTCGTCCCCAGTGAATGCACGCTCGTGGATCCACTTACGTAAATCGTCCACGCGATCGTTTCGCATCAAGTGAGTTCGCGAGTAGTGCTGCACGAAGTTTTGGACGGTGCTCAGGCTCGGAAGGTCCTGGAGCACCATATCAAACTTCCGCGTCATAGAGTGCCTAATTCTCATTGGCCGAAGGTGGTGTAGAGTCAGCTCCCTAACATAGGTTTTCTGGCTGGGCGTCAAACGCTTCTTTCTGGGGGATCTGGCTGCTGTAACGTGCTCCCCCAGCTGGAAAATCGACACCACGTTGTTCGGCATACACGATAAAGTCTTCCCTCGCCACGGGCAAGCCTGCCCATGCGAGGAAATCGACGCACACGATTCCGACGCACACTTCAGTAGGCGGTAGCGCATCTTGTGTGTGGCGTCCTCTGGGCACACCACACACGCCAGTTGGTTGCACTTGGTCACCTCGTACGTCTTCAAGGTGCTCAGCACCCCCTCGGCGTCAAGGGCGGAGATGCCAAGCGCCACGTCCTTCCAGTCGATCCGCTTCGGCATCCTGCCA